CTTTCATGGTGGTGGGTGGAGACATAGCTGAATGTTGCACCTGAGCATCTCTGCCTTTCATGGTGGTGGGTGGAGACATAGGTGAATGTTGCACCTGAGCATCTCTGCCTTTTATGGTGGTGGGCGGAGACACAGCTGAATGTTGCACCTGAGCATCTCTGCCTTTCATGCTGGTGGGTGGAGATGTAGCTGAATGTTGTACCTGAGTACCTTTGCTTTTCATACTGGTGGGTGGAGACGTATCTGGTGAGGTGGTGTCTTCAGTGGCAGGTTTGACTTTGCTTTCATCTTCTTCTTTCTTTGCATCTGTGACACCTGGACTTGGTCCTGACAGGAGATCGATGATATTACTTTTCATAATGGTAGCTATAGAGTTAAGTATTGGATCTTGGATATCATCTTTTTTAATTGATGTGTCTTTAGATAGAGCAAGCTGGTTCTGTTTTAAGGAGCCACTAATCTGCATGGAGGTCTTTTGTGGGAGGAGTTGAACCCTTTGGGAGATATTTTCTGGATCTAGAAGTGAAAAGAAAGTTGAACACCAGTCTCCTGAAAATAGTGGCTGAATCTTGAATGTAGAGATTGCCTTTTGTGCTAATGAAGAAATCATTTCTATAACAATGTTGCCAGTGCCATCCTTCTGAATACCATCAGCTCCAAATTTCCCTATAAACTGATCATAGACAAAATTAGATATCTCATCAATTGTCTCCTTTGCAATTGGTGGGAAAGAAAATATTTCTTCAGCATGTGGTAATACTTTAATTCCACTTTTTCTAAAATCTCGTATGAGAGAGTTTGCAAACTTAATAGCTAAGCTTACAATTTCCGACTCTGGCATATCCTTTTTCCTGGCATCTCCAGTAAGAGTTGAGAAAGAACAAAATTTGTGAGCAAGGTCAACAATTACATCCTCTAAAAATGCAGCTGAAAATAGAGAGGATGGTGCCTTTTCTTTCCCAGATTTAGCAACAACAGAAGAAGCACCACCTTTAGAAGATGAGTCTTCACCATATAAAAATAACTGCAAATGATGATCCATGATTTCTTTAATAATTGAGCCAGCTATTTTACTGAGAAATGAACCTCCCTTTTTGTGTGCATCTTTCTGTACGTCTGCTTGGAATTCAGGTTTCTTCAAAATATTTTTACATACAGAGTCAATGAAATTCTCAGTTGTTTCATATATCATAGTGGCTGTATCCTCTGCAGTGGCAAACCTTATCTCATGTTCAGAAATTTCTTGTATAATTTCATCAGTCAATTTGGAAGCTGCAGCCATGAACTCATCAACATCGTCTGGCCCAGCCTCTGCCTTCTTTAGTTCATTTTCAGTGTCATCTGAAGGAAAGATGTTTTCTAAAAGCTTGTAAATCATGTTTTCTATCAGAGAACAAGGGAGTACTGTAATACATGATGGTAATGCATTGGTATCCTTCAAGATGACATTGAGCACATTTTTGATGATATTTGCAGCTTGAGGTGAAGAATAGCAAGAAGGCATTAATTCTCCTGAAACTAATGACTGCACCTGATAATCATACATTTCTTCCAATAGAAAATGATATATTTTCCCTCCGAAACATGAAGTGTCATTTTCTAGAGCCCTGTGTAGTTGAGTCAGAGATCTACATTCATCAAATAGATTTCCATAAACGGAGTGGACTGTTTTTTGAACCATTTCTTTATATGTCTCTGAAAACCATAGACTCTCATCCAAATGTTCTGCAACTAAAATCTCAGATGTAGTGAACTCAAAAACAATTGATTTTACTAATGTTGTAACAATGTCCATTATTTTTGCTATTGCTGTCTCTGGGGTTTCAGTACTCAAGGAATCCTGTATAAATGTCTGAAGAATTTTGCATAAAAGCTCAGTAATTACTTCTTCCAAAAAGACAGCTGAGTTTACAATGAATGACAACTCTCTTTGCTTAGTGCTTGTTGTTGCTTTCTTCTTGCAGGTTTGAGCCACTGAAGCTGAAAGAATACTTTTATCACCTGATAAGAATGACTCTAGATGATGATTGAAGATTTCCTTTATTATAAAACTTGCAATTTTTGAAACTGGTATGCTACTTAGGCCCTTTTTATCTTTTGTAAGAGACTGGTACAGATTTGAATGGGAAAGATCAGCATAGATGGAATCGACCATCGACTGTATGTCCTTCTCTGAAATCATACTCTGTTTTTCATTTCCATGTTTTACAATACATATTGCATGTTTTGAAATTATTGACATGATTTCATTAATCAGTTTTATGACTGTGTTATTTAAGTCTGATTGAGAAGTGTCATAATGCTCTACACTGGAATCTGATGGATTTATCTGAGACATAATCTGAGTGACTATTTTCTCTAAGTGAACATGTGAGAGCATGGTAGTGTACATTGTTGAAGCCTGTCTTCGGAATCTTGACTTACTAATGTCGTAATGGACTCTATTCACCAAGACATTTTGACTAAGTTTGGAATGTAGGTGTAAAGGAAGATCTGCTACAAGATCTGGTGGAATTTGGAAATAAGAAATTTCAGTCAGAATGATTTTGGTTATCTGAGCAGCCAATGCCTTTGTATCACTTAGAAAATCTTTATCAGGCATGATTTCCATTTCATATTCTTCTAAAACATTGCTGTACACAGTGTCAATAATTTTTTTGAGTATATCTCCTCCTATTGGGGACAAACTCAACTGTTCTTCAGCATTCTCTATAGTAGTAACCTGAGCTTTTGAAAATTCCTCTGTTATCCAGTATATGAGGTTTTCAGCTTTATCAAACAAGACATTTTCTGAGTTTCTTGTTGAGTCCACTTGTACAATGCCAACCACCCTGTGAAATATTTTGCTCACTACTCCAGAGACTACATCTTCCAAAAATGTTGAGGAATAAGCACTACCATAAAATAACTCCTGCCTATCATCATCAAAATATTTGTACGATGAAGTAGATAATTGCTTTCTTTCCACAAATGGCTGAAGATGGTGTTCACAAATATATTTAATAATAAAACCTGCTATTTGATCAATGAAAACATCATTACTTTTTGTGATATTTTCTTCCACTAATTCTGGAGAACCGGAGTTTTCTAAAATATTTGTGAAAACTGCATCAACAAGATGCTGAATATCATTTTCTGAATAAAAGGTCTTGGTTTTCTCTTCATCTTTTGAAAATCTAATTTCATGTTGGGAAATTTTTCTCCTAATATCAGTGATCAGATTGGAAGCAATTTCATTAAAGTTTACTCCTTCTTTATCTTTTGAAGTTGCTTTGTATGAATCAATTTTAGGGGAAGAAGGAAAAAATTTAGATAATAGTACTCTGATCATATCTTCTAAAAATGTATATGGTAGTAATGTATTATACAGAGGTAAGGTCTGGTTTAGCTTACTAGATTTATTGATATCACAAAGAATGTCATAAGCAGTATGATCAGTCATCGAATTAGAACAAGAGGCAGCTGACAAATCACCAGAAAACAGGGGGTGAAGAAGGTAGTCTGAAATAGCGGCTGTGATTAATTTAGTAATATTTTCCACAAAAACTTCACCATTTTCAGATTCATCAATGTCAGGATCTAGTCCATGCTGCTTCAAAACATTCCTATATACTGAGGTGACAAGTTCATCTACAAGATCTGTATTACTAAAGGGAAAGGATGGTTGCTTATCACATAGAATTGGAATCTTAGCTTTGTCTAAATGGTTATTCACTGAACTTACTATTTTTTGAGTCATATTTTCCAGCTCAACATTAGTAATTGGCTTAGGACTAAAAATCTGTGATAAAACTCTGGTGACAACCTCTCCTACAAACTTATCAGGGTAAATGCCTAAAGGTGATGGCTTCTGGGACTTGTGAGACTCTACGACTTCATTGAGAACTTGTTTGACCATGTAAGATACCTCATCTAGTGGAGTTTTGGGGCGAGATAAAGTCTCTCCACACAAAAATGGTTGAAGATGGTTTTCAATAATCTCTTGGATAATAAAACTGGCTATTTGGTCAATCATAATTGGACTTCGACCAACTATATTTTTCTGTATTAAATCAAGAGAATCAGACATTTGCAAAATATTACTGTAAACAGAATCTACCATCTTTTGGAGATTTTTATCTGTATGCAGACACTGATTATCATAGATGGTGAACCAGATTTTATGTTTTGAAATGGCTGACATAACCTTATTTGTTATACAGTTGGACATTTCATTAAAATCTGAACTCGTCAAATACTTTTTTTCTAAAGATGAAGACTTAATAGGCAAGGGAATAAGCTGAGCTAAGAGTCTTCTGATAACATACTCTAAAAATGAGTGTGGTAACATGGTACTATAACCTTTTGAAGACATGGGTTCAGAGTTAAATTTTTTTAAACTATTTTGAAGTTTATACAGTATGATTTCAGCATTGAGAGTATGATATAAATTTGATCTGAGCTTTCCTTTGAAGCAAGATGGAAGCTGATAGTCTATAATCTCTAACAATATGCTATTAGATATTCGTTCAGCTACTGGAGTATTATCATAAGGTAGATTACTACCACAGGTTACCGTAAATTCATATTGTTGTAAAACATCATAAAAAATGGAATCAACAATCTTAGTAATACATCCTTTATGGGCTGATGGAAAATATAATCTCTCTTCAGGATACCTTAGAACAGTAATTTGAGCATTATTTAACTTTTTCACTACATTGTTGATAAGTAATGTATTTATCTCATTAAGCCAGGCTTCAGTGATGTTTAGATTTTTCCTCCACAGCGATGTAGACAAATTAAAAAATAATTCTGAGATTATCTCCTCTAAAAATGTGGCTGAAAAAACTCCACCATTTGCACCTCTTTGACATAGCTTATGAAAGGACACTGTGTTGATTCCCCTTGATTCTTTTCTGTCAGGAAATGACAAAGAGACAGATTTTCCTGCATGTTGTTTGCCAAATCGTGTGTGTGTTTTAAAGCTAGTTGCATTGGTGTTATTCAAGGACTTGGTTAAAAAGTTATTGTCATAGCTCATGAAGTCTACATGGGCTTTAGTGTGTTCTGGTTCAAATAATTCTTGCCTTTTTGCTTTTGGAATAAAAGGCTGTATTTCTCTTGTTCTATAGTTCCTGTATTTGGGTTCAAAAGGAGCTTGCTGTAAACCATGAGATAGCTTGTCCATCAGAGATTTAACCAAGCTGTGGGAAATAACATTAAGAATACAGTCTGATGATAATAAATCTTGATCAATGTCTGCCAGATTTTCCAACAGGTCTGACATGTAATCTCCTTGAAATTGTTCACAGTCCATTGGTGCCTTACGATAATCAAAACCTCCACCTTGAACACTTGGAAGAACTTTGACATGATGCCGTTCTTCTGGTACTTCACGAAAAAGTGAACTATCCTCAAAAAATGCGGTGCCCCCCGTGCACTTTTCTAGAAGTGTTCGAATAAGTTTCTCACACACAATATTGAGAAGAAAAATTGATTTGGGGGAAAGCCCTAGGTTGTTTGTAAGGGTTCTATTACTTTGTCGATTATTTAAGGAGGAAAATGTTCTTGCTAGTTTACCAGAACTCATATCCCCATCAGGGAGCTCATCTGGTAAAAATAAATCTAAAACAATATTGAAGACTTCATTGACGACTTCTTTGGATTCATGAGATCTTAGGCTGCCAACCAGATTGTTTAACCTACGTGCCAGGTAGTTTAATTTATTTTTTTGAGCAAGGTGATCAGTGGGGTGAGGAGATGATTCTAACTCCCTGGGGCCTAACTGATTTTCCATGGTATTGACTTTGTTGAAAATGGGCAAGTTGTTTTTAAGTGTGGGATATGATTTGTTTCTTACATTAATTTCAAAATGATTTAGTCCTAGTACTTTGGACAATACAAAGATCACTCCTTTTAGGAGATCTTGAAAGATATCATCAAAGTCAGAAGAAGTCACTCCTGGGCAGAATATATACTTTGCTTTTATGGAAGCCTGGTGTGTCTTATCAGGATTTATCATGTTTCCATTAGAAAGAACTTCAATAATAACTTTAAAAATCCTTAAAGCAAGATCTCCAATGGAAATAGACCTGGTTTTATACAGTTGAGAGTGAATTAAGATATTTTTGTCAAATACTGCATCATGGATTTCCCATGCTTTCTCTTTGCTGCCTTCTTTGGTGCCATCAGAAATGTTTGAAATTAGGTAACAGATAACTGCTTCAGAGAGATGTACACAAAACTGATAAACTGAAGAATTACTGTAAATGCTTTTTAGAGGCTGCTTTGTATCATCATTTTTCTTTGAGTGTGAAGATACATGAGAAAACTTCTCAGTAGAAACTAAAAAAAAATAGGAAAGAAAAACAGAATCATGCAAGCATTTTTAGTATGGTTTATAGGAAATGTGGAAATATTTTAAAAAAGAAAGAGAAAAAGGATTTTCCCTAAATAGTTCTCAATCGTGAAATCTTGGCATGTACATTGAAAAAGCAAATCTTCCACATGCAAATATCTAAGTCATAGGCTGGTGTCTCTACCTTGATTGTATTATAATAGGCATTAAGAGACCAGATTTTCAAGTTTAATGAAATATCCTGCCATAGCTCCAGTGATGCGATTATTTAAAAATATATTTGGTCAAAATATTTGATGTTGTACTGAATTTTACTTTAAGGTATAAAGATTTTAGTTATACTATCATCTTGAGTAAAAAACAAGTGCATCAACTCCAGATAGACCAAAACAGCAGAGACATGCATAAGTACTTTATACACTTTTTAATTCATGGTGCATGCTCAACCAAAATTCTCTAATATTTTTTTATCTCCCTCTTATCTGCAGGCCTAGAGAAAAAAATCTTCTAGATTCAATGCATAAACAATTAAGTTAGCAACATTTTAATGCACCATCAACATTAAAACTAAAGTTATTTTATCTTTCTAAAGCTATTTTCAGAAAATCAAAATGTACACTCAGATAAGAGATCCTTTAAATATAACTTTTCCTGTTTTCCCTAAGTTATTCTAGTTTAAAAACGAAGTTTTTTTTTCTTGCTTACCTGCAGTTTTGAAGTTCTTCAAATGTGTGATTACAGACGCTGTAACATGTCTTGCAACCAAATGCATTTCATTTGGACCAAGTTCATGATCAGCAAAAGCAATAGTGTTGGTTTCCTCCAAAGTCTCTGTTGTCGTTTTGGGGTTTTTATTTTTCCATTTGTGTAATAAAGAAAAATCCTCTTGGCAGGCTTCAGGACCTCCACTTTCCTCCTCCTGCATGAGGGTCGTTCGGCTACTCCATGTTCTGAGCAAAGTTTTCTCTGTATCTTTTTGTCTTTCACATACGTCAGATGAAGGATTTTGCCTTGACATAAAAAATGGTTTCATGGTCTCTGTGCTTTCATTAGTGTTTGCTTGATGGGGAAAGCCATAACTTGACAGTACTGTGTTTACAATATTTTCTGCAGCTAAACATATTTTGAGTGGGGAAGCAGTTGTCTTAATTTCATTTGGCTCAGCTGATTTGGTGGTCTCATAATGAAAAACCCTTGGATTTTCACCTTTCCCCATTTCTATAAATGATAAGACTTGTTTTAGTGATTCTTCTGTGGAATCATTTACTTTCTTATACAATTTTTGTAACATACTCCCTTCGGGGATAAAGCTGTGAGCTTTTGAAACTTCCTCAACTGGTCCAAAGTTTGGTTTCCTCCAGCCATGGTCTTGTGCTTTGTATCTAGAACATGATGGCATCTCTTTTGAACTGGACCTCTCTGTGGGCTCTGAGTTTTTATTTGTGTTTTCTATACAGGAACTGATGTGTGAAGATGAATTAGATGCAATGCTATGCTTTTCTCTCGTATCATCCTCTGAAGTAAGCCCCACGCCAGATATACTCCTTTGTGGACTATGACTCCTCCCAGTACTCTCACTCGTGTTTAAAAGAGGCATTTTCACAGGAGGTGCAAATTCAACCGGATTAACAATGTAAACATTCTCAGTTCCATTGAACCAATTTTTAGTAGGAAGGTTTTTGATCAAAGACTCACCGAAATGGGAGCATTGGTCTATCAGTGTACCAATGATCTCACTTGCAGCAATATTCTCTTTCAATATGCTAACTGGAGATGGTTCCATTTGGCTTATTTCTTTGTCTAGTTTATTCTTGATTATTCCAAGCATGCCACTGACAGTAGTGACAGAATATGTTAGTAATTCTGAATGGAATAAATGGACCTGTAAGAGTGTATTCTGTACATTTTCTTTGGATATAATAGTGCTTGACTTGGACTCATCATCAAACTTTCTAAACGGTAATTTTGGCAGCATCTTTTTGCTTAATTGTCTTTGTTGCACTTGAAAGAGATTGTCTATTGGCATTTTCACTATTTCAGAAAACTCATATTTAGAGATATGCTTAAACTTTAAGTCCACAAATGACTCTAACATGTTTAAGACTCTTTCTACGATCTCATGCACAATTTGGTTGCTAGAGCTCGTAAACACGTGGTCCTTCATCTTCATGTTGCAGGTCTGTATGCCACTAAGGATGTGCTTGGTTGGAAAACCCGGCTTGCTTTTCGCAGCAACATGTTCTTTCCTACTTGTGAGAACTCCGTTACTGTCCTGAGTAGGCATCTGAGACAAGAAGCACAATTGTAATTTTTCAAAGAGCATTTCGACAATTTCCCGTCCAAACATATTGATCTGCGCTTTTGTGTCCTCAGCTCTAGTAGAGACACCTTTAAAGTGGTCGTAGAATCTGTTTTCACACTCTTCAAGAGGTGGCAAATTTAAAAGTGAAAGTGAATATTCTAAATCTTTGGCTTTAATTGAAATTTCAGTTAAAATGTTTTCAGCTATGGTTAAAAGTTTAGACTTTTCAGTTTCTGTATCACTTGTTTCTGTTTGCCATTTGTCAAACATTTTTTTCAATATACCTTCTTTAGGAAAAATCTGTTCTAACTGCGAGGAAACATTTTCTAAGTAAAAACATGGTTGCTCCGTAGGGTAACCTGCACCCAGATTCTGCTTGGATAGGCGATGATCACTCAGATTTGAAATGTTAATTGGAGAAGCCAAGTTCTGATTGTTTGTAACATACAGCTCTTGTAACACTGCATTAACAATTTTACTCGCTTCAAGGATTTGACTAGATTGCAAGACTTTAGTGTTAAACATGGCTCTGTGTTGTGCTGCTTTCTCAAGTCCGCTCATAATTACTTCTAAAATGTCAGTTATTATATTCGTGGCATATACTCTTAATTCTGCAACTGGTAATTTTGTTTTCAGTGTGGTTTTGGCATCTTCTGCTTGTGAAGTCTGCGGCAGCCCAAGGGCGGTTTTGGATCTGTTCTCTCTTGGAGTCTTTTCTCCAGTAGATAACTTGCTCTTGCTTTTGGTCTTAGTAGCACTAATACCAAGATGTGGTTTTGTTTTAAATTTAGAGAGAGAGGTGATTTTTGATCTCATTTTTAAACTTGTTTTACATCCTGGCCTCGGGCTGTTCTTTGGGCTGAGTTTAGAATTATGTAGTCTAAGAAGGTACAAGTCATCATAACTACCTTCAGGTGGATATCCCTCCTCTAGATGTAGGGAGACAAAATTTGATAACTTATCAAGAACTATTTGAACTAAATATTTTCCAATTTGCAATGGTGAGTATGGTAAAAAGGTGTTTTCTAACACAAGAGCGTTTAAATTGTCAGCATAAGGATGCATCTGTGGTACCCCTAGTCTTAAGGGACTACTTCTTTTTCTTGCTGGCTTAGTTTCTCTAAAGCCTGGCGATTTTTCTGATGAACTATCACTGCTGTCATGCATTTCTCCCTCTCTCCTGCTTTTATTTTTTTTGTACAAGGATGTTACAACCACAGAGTGCATCTCTCCCAAAACATTTTCAAGTATATCACTTGATACATTGTTAATATGTGACTGAAAGAATTTCTTCTGTGTTGTGGCTGCTGTTTTACTTTTAGACTTAGACACTATATATGGAATTTCATTATATGGGGCTATGTGACCTATGATTTCCATTATCCTCTGACTCAGCTTCTTCAAAACCTCTTCCACTGTCTTGAGAATTTCAGTTTTTTCTCTTGGTTTTGATTCTCCTTTTCTCATAAATATTTCTTCCAAAACATCTCTCTGGCTTTCCTTTTCCACTGTTATTATTTGGTTTTCTTCTAAGGAGTTATTTGTAAACTGTGGTGATGCAGTAGCTTTTTCCTTATCTTTGTACCCCAGCAAAGCTTCATTTGATATGGTTAGCTGTGAACAGCTAGAGTTCTCTGGTGAGGATAAAAAAATTTCCTTTACAGATTCTTTATTGTGCAAAATCTTTAAGATACTATTAACAATTTCACTCACAATCATATTCTTTTGAAATAAAACGTGGTTTGAATATGTTTGTACACTATGTATTTCTAATTCTAAATCATTTTTGATAAGCTTCAGAATAGTACTGGCAATGAAGGCAGCATAGCCCTTAAGACTAGTTTGTGATAAATGGATTGTAGTTCTAAAATTTTCTCTGCAGCTGGCAAGAATGGGTTCTGCAAGGTCTTGGCTAGAGACTGTTTTAGTTGTTGATAATTTTAGGACATTCACATCAGACTCAGCTTGGCCTGGTTCATGAAAAACGCAGTTGTCATCTTTACCATTTTCAAATTGTGGGCTAACAAATGCATTTCCTTTAGACTGAAAGGCAAGAGTCATTAGTGAGTTTATTCTCTCTATGGCAAAAGACTGTAACCGATTGAAAATAGTTTCAGTAATGTAGTTTACGTTTTCCTCACATGGGTCAGGCGCAGGTTCCTTGGTGTCTTCTTTGCCATTTACAGGCATCTGATAAATATCAGGATAACCTAAATTCTTATCTTTTGAATGTAAAAAATGCCCTGGTTTTCCTTCCGTTCTTTGTGTTATAGAAAGAGGCTGTTGGCACTGTGGTTTTGGAAAAATATCATAGATGGTCAGTCTTGTAGAAGCTGAGTCCTTTGCATTTATGGCAAGCATGACCAAACTTGTAAGGTTATGAAGCACAATATCCACTATATCTTTGGACACCAAAATGACATCTGCTTTAGGAACTGAGACTTTAGGTATAATATTTGTACCAATAACTACTGGCTCAAAATTTGCTTCTGAGTGTTTTGCAGGTATGTCAAATTTCAGGGTAGGTGTGGCAAATGAGAGATTATTCTGATACACAATGTTTTCGTAAATATCACATAAGATGCCTTCAATGGTATCTTGAATTTGAAACTCAAGTATTTTTCGATATTCTGTTTTATTGACTAGCCTTTCAAAAATGCCAACTTGTTGATCTGAATAATTCTCTTTGTCAGAACTGTTTTTGTCAGACTTGCTTTTGCATGACACAATATCAAGCACTGTGTTAACAACCTGACTTGCAATATTCTCAGAAACCACAATGTTATTTGTCAAGAGAGGACTTTCTTGTTCTTTATCTAACTCATGTTTGATACCTTGTAAAATTTTCCTAGCTACTTCTTTTGCATAAATATTTAATTTGGACAAAGACATTTGACACCATGAGTCCACCTGTTCTGGATTACTATGATTCACTGAACAACAGGGAAGTTGATTATCAGAATATGAATCTTTGCCTGATAATGCTTGGCTTAATGATCCCTCTTCCTGATGTACTGGCAAAGTCACTGGAACTGTGAAGTTGACTTGAGGACAAAAGAGTGATTCTACTTTGGAAGCAGCAAAAGTTTCTAAATTTTCTAATATTGCCTGCACAATATCTTCAACTACATTTATTTTGGTCTGCTTGTCAACATTCCAGCTGGACTGAAGATCATGTGCATTTCTATTTAACCCACTGACAGGGGCATTTCCTCCATAGGTATGCTCACGGAAAGAAACATTGGCTGAAAAGATGATGGTTTTGCATCTGTTTTCACTTACATGTTTTTCTGTCATGGCAGCTGAATAAAGCTTGTGAAATACTGTCCTAACAACATCATTTACCACTACACTTACATCTGTGTCAGATACTAAAGGGCCCATGATTTGATCCGTAAAATGTGCAGATGTTTGAGTAGAGGATGCAGGAGCATTGTGAGGCATTCCACTAAAATGAGTGCGTGAGAGTGAAACCACATTTAATTGATTGATTAGAGCACTTTGAAAAATTTCATTCAGAATATTTCTTATAATGGGGACAATTGGAGATCTGTGTGGCTCTTTAAGTTTCACTTCAATTTTGCTTAAGGTTCTTTCTAGAACCATCTGGTCAGTAGAAAGGGTTCTAGTTTCCTCACTGAAAGATGTTGTATCTCTAATAAGTTCTTTATTTTGTGTGTCATCATCTAGAAATGAGTCTGATTCTGCTCCTCCAGGAAGAAAATTTCCATAAGTTGGTCGGTATCCATAATTTTCATTGCCTTGGTTCTCAGATTCAGGGTCAGCAAAAATATCTGAAGATACAACATCTAAAATTAAATCAACAATGTTTGTAAGCATTTGTGTCTCTTCTGGTGATCTCTTTTTATCTATCTTACAATCAGATGGGTTTATATTTAATTCTGTTTGAATGGCTTTCAAAATACCATTTGATACCTTCTTTGCATGACTGTATAAAGTGGATTGCAATGATTTATCATGAGAATCTGCAGGAGAACTGTTGCTTTCAGATTCCCAATCCGCTGTATGCTCTTTATTTTCATCACTAAGAATACCATTTTCTATACTTCCACTTGCAAAATGTTCCAGTTTAGCAAAAACCACGTTGAGAATATCTGAAGCAATACTTTTCAGTTTTTGGGGGCACATTTCTTCTGGGATCTCTGCTTTGGAACACATTGGAAGATCACTTTTTGCTTTGCTTTTGGTCACCTCATTATTATCCTTCATAATTTTGGAAATTATGTTAGAGATTATGTTGGTGCATTTGGCCATTTCCTCCATGGTTGAAGCAAATGATAGGTTGTCTATGTCAAGTGATTCGGAGACAGTTTTCAATTCAGGAGTTTTGATGCTGGTATCTACGTCAACATCACATAATTTTGCAAGGACGTATTCCAGAATTGCTTTGGAAATGATCTGAGTGTTAGACAGTGTTGGAGGGTCTTTATCTAAGGTTTCCATGTTTTGATGACTGCAAGATGGCTGAGAATCAGGGTGATCACTTGTGAGTTTGGTTAACATTTCATGCAGTGTATCCCCAATTTGATCTAACACCTCCAATTTGGAACTGTCCTTGAAATCCTTTTCATCAGCAAAACTGTGCTGAAGGCAAGGTTTAGCCAACAATTGGCGAAAAGAATTTTTATCCTGTTTATTTGACAAAATATTTTGTTTATGAACATTGCCAGACCCACATATATTTGTAGATGCTGCCTTATCTGTACAGGTTGAAGTACTTTTTTTATCTTCATTTGTACTTGATATCATTTCACAAATACATGTCAATAATGGACTTTCCATAATGTCATCATTGACACTGGTGACATGGGACTCTACAACTTTATTGGAATCAGTGAACAACCCTTTGTTTTTATGGTACTTGGGGCGGTCTGTCTCTTTAAGATTTGGGTTTACCTTGTTGATTTCTAGTTCACTTTGTATAGCATGCAAAACGATGTTGACTATTTTCATTGTGTAAGTACTAAGTTGAGAATGTAATGATTTTTCTACCAGTGAAGATTTGTTGCCTATTTGCAATTTTGGACAAACAAATAGCTTCAGCCTTTTAAAAATTGTATTAATGATCTTATCAGTAATATCATTTACACGCTTAGGCTCACATTTTCCAGATCTTAACTGGGAAGTCTTTTCATGTTCCATGTTGAGAGAAGATAAATATTTCATTTTCTTTTCACTGTCAAACCATACTTTAAATGGCATTTTACTTGATGTTTCTTTGGATGTATGGACAGTATCCAAAGGATCTATACAAGTGTGATGAACTGACGTAAAGGCATTTTTAATGGTATTAGGAATGTACGTTGAGGCCCTATGAAGTATATTTATCACAGAATCTGTTATTTCATGTGCAAATGCACAAATTTCTGACCCAGAGAACATCTGTTCCATCCATTCTTGATCTGATAGTCCTTGAGATTTCTCAGAGGAAAAAGCAGAAGCTTCTTTGCCAGTTTGGCTTCCCAAATAACTAGATGAATCAGAAGACATATCCTTGAGCATTTCCGTTAAAATATGTTTAACTATGTTTTCTGAAGCCTTTTGTATTTGGTACTTTTGATCTTGGCTGAAAATGGAAGTCTCATTATTCAAGCAGTGCTTTGTCTTCACAATGTCTTCACTACTAAGAGACAACTCCAACTTTAATCCCCAGTCACGAGATTCAACTTTGTTTTGAAAAGTAGATTTTGTTGGCCATTTATTACTTCTTTTGGTTTCATAAAAAGTATCTCTCTTTTTAGGCCAATGGTCGTGAATCTGCTCTTGTGATTTTGCTTTCTCATCATTGAAAGATGAATCAAGCACACTTTGCACAAAGTTATCTATTTCCTCATCCTCATCTTCAGAATAAAGAACCATTCCAGGAACATTAACAGGTGGAAATGGTCGTTTAGATTTAAGACTATTAAATGATCTAGTGCCAGCGAGTCTATACTTTTCTTCAGTGTCAGAAAGATTTCTTACTCTAGGTCGTCTATGTTTTTTAGCACCTGCTTTTACTGGCTGCTGGTGAAGCTGAGTTAAGACATCATCCAGCAGCTGAAGAAGTACTACTGTTTCTTCAGATGCAATAAGTCTCTCATTATTGAGTTCAGTTTGGACATAGCCTAGTATAGTGCTGATTGCTTCTTCTACGTAACCAACCAGAGAGGACTGTGAAAAAATATTTGATATTAAGTTTTGTATCTCTTCTTTCAGAACCCTATTAGCAGAATCAGATGCAGGGCTAACTTTCTTTTGGTCAGTTTGTTGATGGATTTTATATACTGGCTCTGTCTTAGTTTGTTGGAAATGTTTAGTTATATCTTCTGGAGGAACTTCATTTTTCTTATAAGATGCAAGAATCATCAATTTTTCCAAAATGGAATGTACCATATCATCGGCAACATCACACATTGGCTCCAAAGTATAACTCAATGTATCTTCTGAAGGTTTTGTTTCTACAGATGAAAAATATTCACCACTAGTTGATAAACTGGGTTTAATATCAACTGACAAGTCTTCTTGTGAAAAAATCTGTACACATTTTTTCTCAACAGCAGACTCCAGCTTCTCAAGCATGTTTTCCACAATCTCTGAAGCTACTGAGCATATATCAACATTGGAGAGCAACTCTTCTCTTTCAGCTTCAGTCTGATCGACAAAAACTTCAGCAGTCACAGAAGAGAGAGAAGGAATGGCCTGGCTTAAGTCAGACATTATTTCTTGAAAAATACTCTCTAAAATAAGTTGTGTTTCTCCTTTCAAGTGACATTTAAAGTTTACAAAGACATTCTTTAAGTTTTTAATCTGATCCATGGCTTTTGCTTTTTTATCATATAGAAACGGAATCTCTAAACTCTCTGTTTCTGTAGTAGCGTCTTTGGATTTTTTAGTGGATGTTTCTAATGATGTTAAGAGGTGGCTATCTGATTTACTACTTCCTATCTTAGGAAATGGATAGTCCAAGCTGGTTTTGTTGTAACTGATTTGTGAAGATATAGATTGTCCTTTTTTTTGATATGTTTGTCCAATAACTGTTCTTTCCACATGTGCAGAAGGAGGTTTCAAAGGTGTAGGTGGTTTCTTCACTGGCATGTCACTGGCAAATGTACACGGATCAGCTTGAAATGTTTTAGCTGTGTAGCTTCTGTATGTAAAGCCTTCACTACACGTACTACAGAAGCTTGAACTATCTGAAGAAAGGTCGGAATCATCAGACACTGGGTATGTATTACTCTGTACTCTTTCTTCATATTTTGTGATAGCTGGATATAATATACTGGTTACTGTAGCTACAACCCAGGTCATTATGTTTTGGATTATGCTATTTAATTCTTCAGAAGTTACCTAGAAAGAAGATAACCATATAAGAAAGTCAAACAAATATTTACTCTGAATTTGGGAGATAGGGAGTTTCATTCAAATTTTGATATTAAACAATTTATAAGTTGAATACTAGCATGATTCATAAGAAAATGACAAATTTTTTTCAGAATTTCAGACTGTTTTAAACTAGTTTGTTTCATACTAGAAAAAATAATTTGTGTATAAAATTTTATTTTATTTATATGACTTAAGGAGCTATATAAAATGATTCCCAACACATTATCTTCAAATCAAAGTTAGCAAATTGCTATCTAGACCTATCTCATGACATATTTTTGGAACAAATATACACTGTGGCATTCATTACTCTGTTACATTTTTGAAAACAGTTAAAATATTTCTAAGTAGTCATATAAACAAAAGCATTTTGGATTTTTAGAAGTACTTTTCTAGCTTATATATGAGGATAAAAATCAACTTTATATCCATTTCATGCCACAACATTAAGTACACAATCTCTTTTCATCTTTATTTTTTTTTCTGTTTCATGTCTCAGCTCATAGGTGACTAAGTATCTATGCATGAGATCGTAGGTAGAAGGTTCTTTCTATAAGAATTGCTGTAGACAAATACAGGCATCTCAACGCAATCTCTACAGACTTCATCAGTAATATCTGGAATGCTATGTTGGTCAGTAATATCCCATGATAGATGAGGTTTTGTTACCTCATGCTGCTCATTAAGGCTGGTCTCTGAATGATTTACCACTCTACACCCAAGAGGCTTTCCTAAAGTGTTAAGAGTATCTTCTGAAAATAACCTTGTACTAATAGACTCTTAAAATTACTTAAAATTAAACTTCTATTACAATAAAAGGCAAAAGGTAATAACAATAAATATTAGTAGATGATTATTAGTATGTGATTCACATTTTTCTAGAATCGCACACAGTAATTAATATAATGTCTTATTGGTTCACTTTATAATACATACTTTATCTTTCAAGCAATGTTGTAGATTTTGTTGCCTGTAAAATCAGGAAAATAGTTATGATTGAGTTAAGTCAGGACAAATAATTTATGAAGATAATTTCAACATTCCTATTGTCTATTCAGTGTCTTTTTTATGAGAATTCTTCTATATAAATACAAAACTTTATTTTGTTTTGTTCAATGTTCTTATTTGATATTTTGCTAAGTTGTGGGCCTGTATCCTAAAACCTGGGCTTCAATTATTCAGAAGAGTGGAATCAGCAAACCTAGCACATGCATAAACAATACCTGACACTGGTAGTTGGAACTCTGGTATACCTTAGCTTTTTATTCCATGAAGGATCAAGATGATTAGTCTCTTTGATTTGCTAATAGAGACTATTGAATAGTAAGGTTGTTTTGATCATAGCTCTTTGGTAATCTTTTATCTGCTTTTTAGGATCATATAGTTGCATCATCTTTTTGCTACTTCTCATAGTAGAAAAAACCATTCAATAACTACTGGTTAGATTGATGAGTTTCTAGCTACATTCAATGCTAAATTCAATCATCTTTGTGTAATGATGTGATGAACCCACTTTTTTCATGTGTTGCAATTAAATTTACTTCCATTTTTATAAAGTCAAGTTGCTACTCCTTTTAATTTCCTTAAGCCTATACATTCTAAACATTTTTCTCTAAATCTGAAACTAAATTGTGAAAGCAAATGGTGTCTAAATATTGCAACTTATTTGTGAGAAAAAAAAAAACTTCAATCGATGAAACTTAGAAATGGGTTTGGAAGCCTGGCATAGAGTCTGGGCTTTCAGCTATGTAGGAAGTTGAGGTAGCAAGATTGAGTTCATGAGTTTCCAGGCCACTGGGATTATGGCAAGAGAAAAGAGAGAAGGAAAAGGGGAGATGAGAAAGAGGGAATGTGGCTTGAAGAGAGAGGAAAGAAAAAGGAGACAGAGGGAGAAGGGGTAAAAATCTATAGACTACAATTTCTTCTCAGATGTGGTTTGTTAAATTAACTCAATGTTCCACACTTTCCTTGTTTTATTTATTTACTATTTTACATTTTCTAAACTTAACTTTTGGACATTTTTTTGGCTTAAGGCATAGAAAAGAGTCCCATAGCTCCCTTACTAGCAGTGTGCCAAAGGTCAAAACAGGGAGCAATGACCTATGAAATCACTAAATCCCCAGCATCCACAGAAACAATTGTTTTTAAGGCAAGCTATAAAATCAATAATAATGTACGATTAAAAACTTTCAAAATTTGACCTTTTTTCATAAAAGAAATGGACACTGGCAAAAGCAGTCAGAACTACACTTCTGCAATTCAGAAAAATATTTGGAGGCTTGTAGTGTCTCAAACATTTATTTTTAGAAAGATGTGAATATAACATGGGGAGTTTTAAATTAGCCTATACTGATTCCTTAAAAAGAATTCATCATAATCACAGTGAACTAACTCTGTGAATCTTATTATTTGCCTAACATCTGTCACTAGTCCTTAAACACAGTGTGTTCTCAATAGATGCTTGATAAATAGGTTTCAAGGATATGCCTACCTATATCAAATCACAAATGAATAATACTATTGAATGGTTTTTGGGTTATGGTTTTATCCGTGTATTGCTGACAAAATAATTAACTATATACTAATTTGATCCTAATGTTATTGATCCAAACTATTTGAGTTTTACTTAATAAACAATAAAATTCTAACTATAGTATATGTCAAAGGATTTCAAACTTATAACCTTATGATTGCACATTACAACTCTACTCCCACTGCTAATACAGCTTATCTTCGTGCTCTAGCATGGATTTTCATTTCTACCTTAGCAATGTTTTGCATTCACACTTTTAAAAAGGACAAATAAAGTATTTGAGGAGGGGCAAGGTCCTTGACAACGGAACAAACATGGGTCTCCATGGTAAAGTCTTTCATGATACATAGTTAAATCAGCAGTCAGGAGAGACAGTAAAGGGCTTTGCAATGTAATCGTCCTTTAACATGTATTTATTCCATAATGCAAGTGATCATTATCTGCACATGACAGGCATTTTTCCTCCTCATTTTATCCCATTTGGATGAGATTCATTCATTCTGGCTATAGTACAGTGCTTTGTATTCTATGAGCCTTCACTAAATTGTACATATTGATACCCATCGACCTCATTGAAAGTCTTAATCAACAAAACGTAGTCTGAATATGAAAATAATTTGGCACCAGGGATCTTTTTCTCTTATATAGCCATTTATATAGAAATATAGCTTTGCAAAGAATGTAGTTTAGTTTGAACTTCATTTGATTTGTTTTTAAGATTTTAGTACTGGGTTGCTAAGAAGACAGTCCTGTGTATACAAAGCTTGCTGTGCATAAGACCTGGATTCAGATCCTGAGCACATACATAAAACTGGATCATGTTCAGAGAGTTAGTCTGCCTCATAAAAATAAAATATCAAAGCAAAGACAACCAGTGATGTTAACTTCTGTCTGACCACACACACAAACATACACACAAACAAAACACACACACACACACACATACACACACACACACACACACCACCTCCACATAAATATATTTTAAAAGATAATGGTCCTAAAACAATGCCTTCTTCACAAGTTGAAAAAGAGCTAAAATAGCTGTTCTCTAATATTTGTTTGATAAATGAAAAGCTTTGCTAATAAACATCTCTTCTCTAAAAATTTCAACTTACACTTTAGTATTATTCTGAACAACACTGCAAATACTTTTAAGAAGCAGAAAGATGACCAAGTCATCAAAATGAGATGGTGAAAAATATTGATAAATTACATTTTATCAACCTTTAGAAGCCCATAATCTCAAAATTCATATGTAAATATTTCAAAGAGAAATATTAAGAAGTCCTCTGAAATTATGTGAAGCCACTTGGAAAGAAGGAACAAAGACTTTGGGTACAGAGAGCAAAGAACTGGGTAGACTGAGGGAGGACATCATACACTTTGTCTACAATTTGAGCTTAGTTCTGGAAGTTCTCAACAATAAAGTTTCACTAAGTCTAAGGCAAACTCTAAAAGGGGAAGCTTTTATGTAGTCATGTACTTAAGAAATTATTAAAATAGGAATTCATAATTCTACACTAATAATTTAGATACTTACATAGTTGAGTAAACAGGAGAAGAAAAGATACCGGGCGGTGGAGCACCACCCTGTGATCCTAAGCATCATGAAAAGAAAAATGTAAGTTATATTCATCCTCAGTAATGTTTAAAATGCCAATACCACTTTCAAATACCTGTGGTCATTTGTAACTGAGTAGTTTATATGCATTTAAGAACATTTCACAGCAATTTCCAAAGTCCTTAGTGTAGAATTTAATATAGAGTAAAATCCCAGCTCTTATTTACCCCTGTAATGCCTTGTGAAGTCTAGTCTTTGTACGTATTCTATGGCCTATAGACATAGAATACAACTTAATATCCAACTGTAATGGTCTCTCGATGCCTTTAGACTATTACTGTGGCCATTTCCTTTTGAGACATTGTACTTACATTTCTCATATCATAAGGTTTTGCTGAGCTTGGTTAAAACCTCTGAAACCATTCCATGAAACTTATCTAAATAAATACATAACCTTCCTTAGCGTTTCCATAACACTCGACAATGCTCATATTAAAGACTTTATAGGAGCTGGAGAGAGGACTCCTTAGGTAATGCACGTGCTGCTCTTATAGAGAGTCCAAGTTCAGTTGCCAGAAGCCATGTAGAGCAGCTTACAAAGATGTATAACTCCTTCCCTAAATGATCTGATACTTACCTTTATATTCTTTAGGCACATGCTCTTGTGTACATGCACACAGACACACACACAAATATGGTTTTTAAAATAAAACAGATGTATTGAATACAAAAATCTGAAAGTTCAGTAGATTCTTATAATCACAAGTTTACTACTAAGTTCTATATTTTTCAGTGTGTGTGTGTGTGTGTGTGTGTGTGTGTGTGTGTATTTGGATTTGGAGAAGGAACTGAGATTAACAATGCATAGAGAAAAGTCATGCATAGTGGCATTTGTTTATAAACTTTGTGCTAGGGAGATAGACTAAGATGGATTCCCCAAACTTTCTGGTGAGACTGCTTAGCCTATTTCTTGCCTTCCAGACCACTGAGAATCTCTGATTAAAAAGAAAACTATATATGTTGTCCAAGGTATGATAAGCAAAAGTAGTTCCTTTGGCTTTAACATGAGACCTACACAGAAACTTGGATTTGTATACATATGATCACATACTCTCACATGCATGTGTACCTGCATATATGTAAACATGCATACTGTCATACATGCACATCTACCCCCAACAAACATATAGGCAACACAAAAGAGTGTTCAAGTAAAATAATCATCACAGACAATCACATTGGTTCATAGAAAGTAAGGAATTACCGAGCCAATTCCTCCAGCTCAATATGTGGAAAATTTAGACAACCATTGGTCTCATTAAAAGATTTGTTTGAGGGGCCTCTGAAGATCAAGTCAATGGATCTGAAGGTCTTTCTTATAATATAGCATAGAATTTGCACGTAACCTAGCTATGCCTTCTGCACATATCATTCTCCAGATAATTTATAAATTACTAAAAGATAAATAGTAACACTAATAATGTGTAAATAGTTGCTGTTCTCTATTGTTTACAGAATAGTAACATGATAAAAGTACACATGCATCCAGCATTGACATACATAGTGTACAACTGCTAACTATATGGGTTTGCAAATGCAAGATATACTGTTATAGATACTTTGGTGTACATTGAAAAGTGGATCTTAGGGTGAAGGTAGGACAACAAAAATTTAATGACATTCTTAGGAAAATATAAAGGTAAAGGTACAGGCCATTTGAAACCATACTCACAAATTTGAAGGCCATTATATTAAATGAAATAAGTCAAAAGTGTGGACAGGAAACTGTCATATGTTCTCTTACATGTGAAATATGGATTGTCAAAATCATAAAAAGAGAATATACTGGAATGGAAGAAAAAGGATATGGAGATATATTGGTCACAGTTTTGTATTTTAGAAAATAAATATTACAGATCTAATATGTACTGTGTCTATTGTTAACAGTCCTTTGCTATGTACTTGTTAGGGAGAGTTGATCTTCAGTGTTCTAACCAGGCACATATGCAAACATGCACACACAACTGTAACTGTGAAGTGAAGAATATGTCATATGGTTTGTGTGTTTGTCAAGACTATTTCCTCCATTACAGAGTAAAAGCTCTGAGTATGTGTCACGGCTAATTTTATCTTCTATATTCAGTACTTTGTACAAGACCTAGCAGAAATCATTGCACTGATACATGAGTTGGCAAAGATTTTGGAATGAGCATACTAAGTAGCAAGTGAAGGAATGTATACTGGCTGCACGGTTTATCACTGATGTTTACCTGGGTCACCAGCATAGCTTGATTTCTTGCTTGGTCTTTCATTCCAATTACTTTGCATCTCCTTCTACAAAAGTAACAAGAGAGATTTCTCCACATTTTTACCATCAACTACTATCTGCATGTTTAAATTTCAGAACTGTAATGTTAAATTTCTCACAAACCTCCGTTTATAAGAAATATTTGTTCTGTACTTATGTTATTATTTACACAATTAAAATGAATGTTCATCAAAAATGTCGACAATAACATTTACACATCTGATGATTTTCCAGCTTTGATGCTCAGCCTCTACTTGTATGCATGTATAATACAGTAACACACAATTTAATGAATTTACACACAATTGGAATTGGCATCAGGAGTGAAAACTGAAGTTTAGATGGTTAGGAGAAAGGTTCTGTGTTCCTGCTATGCTACCTCTTTCCTACAAATAGAGCATTTGATGGTAACCAAAAATTAACTACACAAAGAATGCAAAGAAGTCAAATGATGTAATTAGAGGTAGTGCAGAATATTATTGAAAAAAATTAGTTCAGTGTCACTGAAAAAGAGAAGGCATGCAACCTCCACAAGTGACTGTGATTTTCCATTCTTTCCTGGCCACTAAATCTGCTGCAAAAAATCATGACAACAGGTGCCTTCATTTTTCAATAGTTGAAATGGAAATGCAGACAATGAGAAAATGCCTGACAATATTCGTTTTTTCACAGTATGCTGGAGAACAATTAAATTTCTTGTCATAAATTTGGTATCTGTGAACATCTGCTAATGCTTTGGGATTAATATGCAGAGTGAATAGAATATGCAATAGTCAGAGAGGCCAATAATACAGTTTACATATACTATTTTTGTATGCTGAGGTAGATTGTTTCCTTGTACTTTACAGAATAGTTATCTAGGTATAATACAGTGGTGTTTTCATTGTGGAATCTGGAATATTGCAATAATCAACATACACAGTATATTATCATGTCAATTTTCATTCCCAGTCCCACGAACAAAATTGATACATGCCTTTCTGTCTCTTGTTCATCATAATGCTTGAAATGTATGAAACAAAGACCTGTGCTGCAATGTTTTTAAAGACCATTTTAACAAGTCTTCATCATTTCTTTAATTTTAAAGGCTTTAAAATATGGTAAACAATCTGACTATTCCAGCAGTTAAAATTTTGTGATTGTGAGCATATTTAACAGGGCTATTGACATATAATAATAAACTATGAACAAACACAGTTAACAAATATATATTTATAATAAATTGTATCACAGATATAACATCATGGTTATCATAATACATTTTAGATGTTCTGCATTATTTTATATCAATTGTTATGCATTCTAAGTCACATAAAATGTTATTTTCTACTTAATATGAAGAATACATTTGGAGACAATCTACTAAATTGTTAGTGTACTGAAAACCGATAAAAATGTAAACTCCTAGCATAGTGAATCAGTTAATATCAATGCTAATATTAGAGTTAATGGTATTGATTTTATTCCTAAGATAACATGCTGACTATTTATAAATAGTATATATTTTATATGCAATGACTATACTGATTGATCACTATTGATAGCTTCCCGTTAGCAGATACCTGATTACTGTTGAAAAATGCTAAGTCAGCATTATTATCAGAACACCAAGGAAGCTCAACTGATTAATCTGAGTGCTCAATATACAAAGCAAACATTAAGTCTTGCAGATTATATTTAGGTTCACTGAACTTGAGTTATTGCATATTTACTATGGTATGATAAATTTAATGGGATGAAGTTATATCATAAGGATAAAGGATGGCATTTTTATATATTAAAATGACCATAAGATATCCCCTTTCTTCTGACTGAAGCTAGAGTAAATCAAATAATACATACCTCTTCTTTTTGATGGACCAAAGATGTCTGTGAAAGTCTAGCGTTCTTTGTGGGTGATTGTTGAGCTGAAATAATTGAGTCTCTAGCTGATGTAGTTCCAGGAACTAGACAGATAAGAGTTAGCTTTAAATCTGATAGCACTGTAATGTCAAAGATGAATCATAACTTGAAGGCTTGCTCTAGCATTCTACCCAGTACATTGACTAGAAATATCACCATTAGCAATCTATTCAAGTTAAGGAAGCTGTTTCAAGAGTAAGATATCTTTTTTGTATGTTTATTCCTGAAAAATGTCACTTTCCCAATTGTTTCCAAAGAAAAAAATCTGAAATCCTTATCTCAGTCTCATGAAAGTAATAGGGCCTATTGGCAAAATGGACCGTTTTCACTGTAGTTAGTCTACAATGACAGCTTACAGCTTGTCCAAAGGAATAAACAAAGCTGTATTTTAAGCTGATTTTAGGCAAAAGGCATAAAAGTGATAAAAAGCTATTTTGAGATTTAAAAAATTTTTATTAGATATTTTTCTTTATTTACATTTCAAATGTTATCCCTTTTCTTGGTTTCTCCTCCCTGCAAACCTCCTATCTCATCCCCCCTCCCCCTGCTTCTATGATGGTGTTCCCTCACCTACCTACCCACTCCTGCTTTCCTGTCCTGGCATTCCCCTACACTGGGGCATCAAGCCTTCACAGGATGAAGGGCCTCTCCTCCCATTGATGTCTGACAAGGCCATCCTCTGTTACATAAGTGGCTGGAGCCATGGGTCCCTCAATGTGTACTTTTTGGTTGGTGGTTTAGTCCCTGGGAGGTCTTGGGGGTCTGGTTGGTTCATATCATTGCTTCTCCTGTGGGACTGCACACCTCTTCAGCTTTTTTTTTTTTTTACACAGCAAGATGTACAGTGAATTAAAAAGAAGTGGATGGAGGAAGGGTTCTCTAATAATAAAGAAAAACTAAACTAAGCAAACCTTTCAAAATTAGGTAAAACATCTTTCAATAGTAGACAATGGAGTAGCTATGTACTTAATACCAGAACCATCAGTATTGTTCATAATCTTACCTCTTTCATCACTTAATTTTTTCGTTACTCCATTTCTCTATATGGCAAAATATTAAAGAGAAAAATATTTATAAGTAACAATACTTTTGGTAGAGAATATGTCTTCTGTCAGATAACCAAATCAATCCAGATGTTTTTCTACCCCTATGCTCTACATTTGTCATAAGAAGTATACCAGACACGGTACATATCATTAACTTCCCAGGATACCTTTCACTTCTTCAAATTTAGTTTAAAACTGAGCTCAATTTATAGCAATACAGAGCTTACTGTTCTTCTACTCTGTACTTTATTTAAAGCCACTGTGTGTGTGTGTACGTGTGACTATGTATGTATGTATATATATACAGTTTTTTAAAAGTTTAAATTCATTCAATTGGACAGAAAATTAAAATTCTTCCAATTTAAACCCTTCAGAACTATATAATGTTTATTTAAAATACTCTTTAGAGCCAGAACCAGGGTAAAAATTAGTCACTCCAGATTAGTGTAACATTCAGATGTCTCACCAGAAGATGTGTCCTCCAGATGAGTGAATGTCTTAATCATCTTTGCATTCCTAAGGACACAGTTCTCTTATATTCCCATATATTGGCTCATCCCAGTGCTCAGTCAACAATCTGAGCTTCGATCGCGTATGCTACCAGAAAGTAGCAACATCATCATCAGAACTGATACCGGGCTTTCGATTTGTTTCTGCTGTGTGCCACACTACGTCAATAATAAGGGTAAATTGACTCTTTCTTGTCCCGAGAGGAATCAGTTTTTCTTGCAAGAGCTCATGCCCCATAATTAATCAATACCACATTAGTAAAAAAGAACACATGTAAATTAAATTTAAGGAGATGTAATAAAATACTTTTGAAACAGTTTACCTTTTGTTCTGAGCTGCTGTTCTGTACTTCTGCCTGATAAACAACTGAGGATCCCGACATTTTTGTAACATTCTTTGAACTACTCTGAGACTGATTAACAGTGGCTGATACTTGTCCTAGGAGTAAATGAGAAAGAAATCTTTGGTATTTGAACATTTTGTTAAGTGCAATGAATTTTATTTTCTTAAACTAATCACTAAAATTTAAAATATTCATGAGTAGCAATACCTCTGAAAGAGGTACAACTGAAAGCATCATTCACTCAGTCACATGTTGGAATTATTCATATAAGTTCTCCCCTGGATGGTTGCAATCAATCCTTTCTAGTCCCAATGCTACTAATCTGTAACCATTAAGATTACTTCATGCTTTCAGAAATTACACATAAACTCATTCATACCATGTGTGTACTTCTTTTTCCTTGTTTTTGGGAGAATAACATTATTTATTTTATGCAACATAATGCTGTAACATGTATCAAGTTCGTCCTTTTTTATTTGTATACATAGCATTTTATATTTTATCATCAGCTCATGGACATCTCAGCTGTTCTCAATTTCAGCGATTTCTGAAATGAGCTGGGAATTTTGGTACATAAACTTCTCTGTGTGTGTGTGTGTGTATTTCAGGTACTAATCCAAAATGAAGTGTGTAGTTAGAGAAGATTTTACTCTATTTGGTACTCATTCTATTGCTGAGAAACATTATTGAGAGAGGAAACTTTTAATTTTGTGCGTTCACATTTATTAATTCTTGTTAAGTTCTTGTCTATGCTTATCTCTTAAAACTTTTTCCTATTTTTCACCTAAGTTTCAGATTGTTTTACGTTATTTGGTGTTGAAATTGACTTTTGTATAAGAAATTCCATTGAGTTTATACTTGCACATATCCAGCCTTTCCAGATTCATTTGCTGATGACAGTGTTTTTGTTTCTTTCTTTTGTTTTGCTTTTTTGTTTGGCTATTGATTTTGTTGTTGATTGGAGTTCGATTATTTGGGGAGCGTGGGGCTTGTTTTTTGTTTTGTTTAATTTTTGTTTTCTGATATAGTTGTCAAAACCAAAATGTCTTTTAGATAGTGTAGCAGTATAGGGAGGGTCCTTTGAACCTTTCAATTTATTCCATTATTTTACATGTGGGGTTTTTTTTTTTTTGTGTGTGCGTGTGTAACCATACCATGTTGTTTTGTTACTGTGTCTGTCCTAATTTTCTGCTGCTCCGGGTTGTTTTGAATATTCAGAATCCCTGTGCATGCATTTGAATTTGGAGATTATTTTATCTATCTCAAGAATTTCATAAGAATTTAGATAAGCATTATATTAAACTTGTAGTTTGTGTTTGAAGGTATAGCAATTTCCACTGTATTAATTATGCTGATCCACTCATAAGAGGACTTTCAATATTCTTGAATCTTCAATTTCTTCAGTATTTAAAAGTTTTCACTGTAGAGTTCTTTTATTTTCTTAATTATGTTTATTCTTGGATACTTTTTAAGCTATTATGAATGGGATTGTTTCCTTCTATTCTTTCTCAACATATTTCATGTTAATATTAGGAGAATATTAGTATTCTGGAGAGAGTATGATGACTGTACATCCTTCTACTCTCTCTGAAATGTTCAAAGGTTCAGGAGTTTGTTATTATAGCCTCATTGTCTTCTTATACATAGGATCACATGACTACAAAGAATCATACTGTTACTTCTTTCCTTACCATTTATATCCTTTTAATTTCATTATCTTTTCTTATAGCCTTAGGTAAGATTTCAAGCACTATATGTATAAAAGAGTTTAGAATGTAGACAGCCATATTTTGCTCTTTATTTTAGTGGGAAAGCTTTGAGCTTTGAGCTTAGTATACTGTTAGATACAGATTTGTCACGCATAGCCTTTTGTATGCTGAGACAGGTTCTTTATATTCCTAGTTTCTTCATAACTTTTTCTATGAAGAGATTATTTCAAAAAATCTATATTTTGGACAAATATATCTAAATATTGGACAATTGTGGATTTTTGATCTTGAGTCTAATATTTCATAATTAACACTTACAGATAAGGTAAAAATAAATCAAAGCAAAAAGATTGGAGTTTATTCAAAGAGGGGAGGAAAAGGCATAACACCATGTTTATTATTTTGATCAATGTAGATTCAAACTAAATTGAAACATTTTTATGACATTTAATACTACTGAAAAATTTATAATTATTTATAATATGGAATTATGAATTATTAGTATGTATGGTATGATAATGGTATTTTGGTCCCTTTTACTAAAAATGTTACTTATCATTTTAAAATGCATATTGAACTATTGATGATGATGCTATATGTGGAATGGGCTTCAAAATAATTTGACAACAGATAAATGTTAAAGACAGATAAAATATACAAAGACCCTGAATATTCAAAATTCAGATGAAAATGATAGTCACAGCTCTATAAGGCTTTATGATCACCTCCTAGTGGGTTTTATTTGCATTTGAATTATTTACTAGGGAATGCTTAAAAATCTTTATAATTATAATAATATTTACCAAAAAAACCCCATGCTGATTTTAAATAGCAATGCACAGAAGACAGTTTAGAAAATCATATTGGATACAGTATATAAATAGTAATTAAAATATAAGTATTTTGTAAGAATTATGAAAAACTATTAAATAGTCTGTGTGTAGATCTGTGTGTATGTGTACCTGTCTGTTACATGTACATATGTATACTTAATCATGTGTACATGAGGTGAATGATAAGTTTCTACTTTGATGAGGCTCCGCCTTAATATTTGGACCCAGAGTTTCTTACTGAAACTGGAGCTCATCTCTTTGGCTGGCCAATCAGGTCCAGGCATCCAATTATCTCCTTCTCACCCCACCGTAGCATTGAGTTATATACTCAGGATTTTTACATTAATACTGGGGATATAACCTCAGATCCTTGTAGAACAGGCATTTCAAAGACTGAGGCATTTCCTTGGCCTCAGACAGGTGTCTTAAAGTATAAAAACAATCAACTTTCAACATAAAGTCTATTTTAAATGGGGGCAATAGATTTCAGAAATAGAGATTAAATGTTTTATGAAATTTAAAAAGCAAATACAAAACATAAAAAAAAGAAAACCAGATTCCTTTAATGCTACAGGAGCTGATATAAAAGAGACATCAAAGAATAGAGAGATGAAATAACACCAGAAAGATAACCTGCCACAAAAGTACTAAAGCAAAAGAAATGGTGACAAGCATGACAAACAATATAGATTTTCTCTTAATCAATTTACGAAATTGAAAGGGAAACTTACCACATCTAACTGACTATGGCATGTATGTAGATGTAGTGCATGAGAAAGTTCTGAAGGAGAGAGAGATTATGACAAAGCAGGAGGGATGAGAGTCCACTCAAAGAGGCTTAGTGCTTGCTCATTGTTTATTCAGAAGAAAAATGTGTATTATAACCTAGACTACCCCTGATAAATCTGTTCAAGGAACATAAAAAAGACAATAGCCTCACTGGAAATCAATTCGAAAATAGGCTTAGTGGTTTAGGATTGTGATCCCAGCACAAAGGAAAGTGAGGAAGAAGGACTAGTACAAGTTTGAGGCTAAACTGGGCTACAAGACAAGATTCTGAAAACAACAACAATAATTGCAACATCAGCAACAACAACAACTGTAGTACATGTACTATAGTATTAAAAATTGAAGCAAAAGTGATTATTAGCTGTGGTAGCTGTTGGGAAAGAACAGTAAGATTTACTTAAAGATCATGATACATTTATCAAACTCTAGTAGGAAGCAGAGAAAAGCTAACTGAAAATGGGGTAAGTCTAGAAATCTGGAAGCTGTCACAATCCCAATAACACACTCCATCTAACAAACAAGACTACACCTACCAATCCTTCCCAAACAGCTCTTTCAACTAAGTACCAGGCCTTCAAAAACAGGAACCTAGCAGGGACATATTCATTCAAGGTATAATAGAGATGGATCCCTTCAAACTCAGTAACCCCTGTGGTAGACCAGACACATGAAGATTAGGCAGCATTGTCTTCTTGTTTCTGGATTTTGTAGAAAAAAAAAACCAAGATTACACACAAGGAAAAAAAAATTGGATGTGGTTTTCTTTAGGTTTTGATCAGTAAACATCAGTTATTCTAAGTTTTTACATTAACTATAACTTTGAGAGTTATTAGTGAAAGAAATGTATTTAATTTTTTTTCATTTTCATAGTTTGTTATTAGAGTACTTCTTGTTTGAGGGTTCACAGTATAATCTGGTGAGTTTAAATTGGGAACCTAAAGTGACACAGCATAAGAAATATAGAAAATGATAATTCAACAAATGTTCACAGTAGATTATAATAAATTTGTTTGGCTTCTAGACTATTTTTGAGTTTTCTAAAATCATTCTGAGAATTTAAAGTATTTTATAATCTGTCAATCTGTATCTACAATTAGTACTAATAAATCCTGCATTTAATTGTTCTTAAGGAATAGTTGGATGACCAGTTGAAAACACCATATTGGTTATTTATTCTGAAAACAGTACATGGCATGCAGCCTCAAAAATCAGTCATTCATCATAATAAACCCAAGTTTCACCAACTGAAAGTCACCCACAACTCAGTCTTTTCCCAAATCACTATTTTAAATTTTTGGTGTTTATTAAAATATTTAATTACCTGATGTTCCTTTATATGATTTGTGGTCGCCTTCAGGATAAACTATTTTTATATCATCAAACTGCTTCTTTTTCTTCTTTGAGGAAGCTTAAAAATATAATAAAACGTATTAGTAGTAGTGACAGAGAAATCGCCAAAGATCACCTATCTTTTCATGCTCAAGAAGTAAGTGCTTGCTAATCTATATGTGGGATTTGGAGGACAGACAGAAGAAGATGAAGTAATGTAAAATGGGAGGAGATAGTTATTTTTGTAATATGTCTACAACTTCAGGGGCAGAGTTGGAGAGACTTATATTTTATATTTTGGAAAGAAGAAAATATTCATTATAGTCTACTGGAGCATGTAGTTTGCTTTCTGTATAAATACACACCAACATAGTGATGTGGATGAAGACCCCCGGTCTGAAATGACTATGATGTTCTTGGATTTGTTTAAAGATGAGCAAAAGCGTGCGCACGTGTGTGTGTGTGTGTGTGTGTGTGTGTGTGTGTATGTGTGTACACAAGTTTCTCTAGGAGATTTTTACTTGATAGAAGAGAATATTATTGCAGTTTTATACAATTATAACACTGTTATGAAATTGATATTTGTTCCTTGTCACTTCAGTATTATAAAAATATTAATATACTGTTTTCTAAGGTTAATGATGCAGCAGTGTTTAAGACTACTACTTCACGGGGTAAACAGATGGCTCAGAAGTTAAGAGCAGTTGTTCCTTTTGTAGAAGACTTGAGTTTGCTTCCCAGGACTCACATGGTTCACAATCATCCAGTTCCAGATATGTTGCCCTCTTCCTACATCCATAGATAAAAGGCATGCACACACTGTGCATACATATATACAGAAATATGTATGGAAATACTCATAGACATAAGATAATTTTTTAAAAGAATGAAAAAGATCTACAATTCACATTCTTCTATTGGATGAGAAAAAAAGATATTGGCATTACAAAACCAGTAAAGTGATTTGTAATCTGAAATGGGGGTACAGTATCATTTCAAATAAGTAAATAGATTGAGTTAATTTATCTGGGAAACGTATTTAGTATATTTATTTTCCTCACAATTTTATGACATGCAAAAATAGAAGTTTAGTATTAAAGTGATTAAAATTGTAATAAATCTGTAGCTGTATAGGATTTGCAAGCTTCCAGAGACTCACAGAGGGAACATGCAATAAAAGTCATCAAGAAATGTGTGATTTAATATAAATTGGGTGTGAAAGATTAGAAACAGTGAATAGGTGATCGTAGGCTGAGAAAACAGACACAGAAAGACAAAAAAGAGGGAAATATAATCTGTTTAGTTCTTACTCCTACTTGACAGCTCTAAGAGGCCTGACTATGTGCTCCAGTTTTGAAGCAAAGTCTTCATAGAAGTTGTTTAGTGTATTATGTTCAGTTATAGATGCTGAAAGTATATGTGAAAGGCTAAATCACTTGCCAAAACCATTTAAAGATCTTGAAAAGTACACATGTAAGGACCCATGGCTTCAGCTGTATATATAGCAGAGGATTGCCTTATCTGGCATCACTGGGAGGGGAGGCCCTTGGTCCTGTGGAGGCTCAATGCCCCAGCATAGGGGAATACTAGGGCCAAAGGCAGGAGTGGATGAGTGGTCAGGAGAGCTCCTTCATAGAAGCAGGGAGAGGAGCAATGGGATAGGGGGTTTGTGGAGGGAAAACTGGGAAGGGTAATAACATTTGAAATGTAAATAAATAAAATAACCAATAAAAAATGAAAAAAAAAATAACAGTTGGAGCCTGGCTCCAGAGCCTGTACATATCACCAGTAGAGGACAGCTGCCATGTTCAAGCATATAGCACAAAATTAAATTTAGAAGTTTAAATTTGGGCTGAACTTCATATAGTAATGAGTGCTTGCCTGTATGCCTTTAAACTGAATTTAATGGATAGCAGTTTAGAATTAGCAGAAGAAATTGTCAGAATTGAATAGATGTACCAAATGGTCTGGGTGAAGTTAAAAGACAGAATCCAGCTAAGACCAAGTGATGATATGATAAAAGAACGGTCTCACCTGAAAGTGGGGCTGAGGATAAACAAGACTGATGGTGGCCCTGCTCTTTCTCAATAGTATGTGTCCCTAGAAATTTCTTAAAAATTCTACCTGATAACTAATAACTAATACATGGAGTTTTGCTGGGATTCCTTGATGTTATACAAACTGCGGCTGGTGTGGATCTAGCACAACCAAGTCAGGCTCTGTCAGTTTTACACCTTTTCCCATTCTTTTCTGTCTTCTTTCTTCCTTCTTTTCTCTACTGCTTTCCCCTCCATCTTCATTCTCTTATTTTCCCAGGTTCTTTTTCTATTCTCACTAGTTGACAACATACAAAAGCACCATGTTGATGTATAATGACAATTATTTTACACATTGATTTTAATGTGTTGGAAGTAAAATATGCATTATCTTAAGTATAGGGAATTTGGTATAAAAGCTGTAGGGCAACCAAATTTGTCTATTAAACCATTTCATAAAATTATTTTAGTTTTAGTGTGTGTGTGTGTGTGTGTGTGTGTGTGTATGTGTATGTATGTATGTATGTATGTATGTATGTATGTAAATATGTGATCTTTTCAATTTGAAAAATAATGTGGACATAGTTAGCTTAGCATTTCATATAGAGTGGGTAGCAGGTACACATATATAAGATATATCATGTTACAGAGGTCAATGCTTCCTACTTAGTGACATAATATTCTCACATTCAAACATAGTTCCATTTTGTCCTTTATAGTCAAATCCATTTCTTCCCATGTCATCTTTTAAGCCAGTATCCTGCATTTTTTGTAAATGATAAGCCATTTTTTTCTCTAGCATTGCTTGTTTCTAGAATATGAAACAAAGTACACTGATTAGTATTAATCTGGCATCGATAAAAGCAAAACAAATATTTAAACCATGTAGTATAGTAGAAATAAATAATTATTCTTGTCTTGTGACTTGTAAATTTAAGGAGAAACAACCTTAGAGAGCAGTAAGGAGTCCATTGTTACTTACAAGTTAAAGAATATAAAACTTACAGAGTATAATAAGGAGCCCATTTTTATTAATGATCAAATACTTAGGAAAAAGGTACCTGCCTGAATACTTTGATAGAATTATTACATTCTTTGAAGTGTCACTTTTCCTTGTGAAACTCTGGGATACTACTGACCATGGGCATGGCAGAAGAGAGACAAATGTGCAGAGAGCACCTTGAAATTTTTATTGATCACTCACTAAGAGAAAAAATCAGTACACATAAAGTAATACTCAAGATAGCATAAAGGATCATCCTAAGAGGTAGGTTAGAAGAGAGTTTGCATTTCCATGAAGATGAAAATTACATGTATTCCACAAGCTACAGTATAGGGGTATTGTTAACCATATAGTCTAGAATACAAAAATGGGTCTTGCTTTGATAATAGGCAATAACAAGTTCAGATAAAAAGTAACACTAGCTAGAGCTAATAGATCATTAAAAAACCTGATTAATTAAACTGTTTCCAAAGATATAAAAAGACTGAATACATAAAGTCAGTATATGGCATCAAGTTGAAGAGTGCTAGCTAGGCCTGTAAAGAAACAGGGCCATGTGACCTATAGAAATAAATCATTCAGTTGCAATTAACTTAGAAAAGACAAAGAAGTTAGAATCCAAGCCAAGAATATCAACATACTCAGCAGAGTTGCATTCCGCGTGCTTCCAAAATATAATAATGACATTGAAGAGAAACAAATATTTGCATAATTTAGTATGTGAGAAGAGGAATGCAAAAAAAGAATCACTGATAACAGATCTGATATTACAGAGCAGAGCTATATGAATTCAATGATAGAAAGTACCTTAAAGAAAACACTGGGAGGGGAAAGACTTAGACTTTCTGAGATGCATGAGACAATAATAGTTAGTGTCCTGGAAAGAGGAAAACATATATGTGTGTGTGCAGTTAATCTTCATTGCAAGCTTGGTGGGATTTGGAATCACCATGGATACATACCACATGATGGGTTAATGAGGTTTTTTAAAGAAAAGGTTAACTAAAAAGAGAAGATATACCTTAAATGTGGGCAGTACTGTCCCAGGGGATAGTACCTCAGACTGAATAACAAGGAGACAGGTGAGCTGAGCGCAGCAGTTCTCTTTGTGTTTCCACAGTGGATATAATGTAACCAGTTGTCATGATCTTCCAGTCTTGTTTACCTATGACAATAGGCTGTGCTCCCTTCAACTCAAAGCTACAATAAACTCTCTTTTCTTTAAATCACTTCTTGTCAGATATTTGGTCATGGGGAGAAGAGTAACTAAACTGAGATATAACAAAAATATCTGAGAATAGATGTCTAAAAAAATCCATTGAACTCAGAGTTTCAGGAGAAACCCAAACAGTATTACAAACCAAGTGAAAGAAACAGTGCTACCCTGATACCAGATGTAGACAAAGACACTAAACAAAAGATATTTGACAACTCACCAAGATTCCTTCTTGATAACAATTTTTGGCAATGCAATAATAGCATTTTTAAACCTAATAAAAAGTATATATGAGAGGAATACAGATATCATAGTTAATTCTAGAAAATATTGGGATATTTTTGTTTTTATTTGAGATCCTTTATTTACATATGTGTGTGTGTTTTATCTATAGATGTTTAAAAAGATGTTGAAACATTGAACATAAAATGGCATGCAGATTACACTGAATAACACAATCCTACTTACATGAACAGTGAATCTCAAACAAGACTAAGATATACATGTGAGAAGCTGAATGTAAAATAAATTATAAACTTCAGTTTATGATATTTTTATAGGAAAATGAAATAGATACTTTAATTTCTAATATTTTACAAAGTTTAAGTAAAATGATATACTGCCATACAAACCAAACAGTAAATTTTACATCGGTCTGTCAAGAATAAATTACCCCAAATTTAGAATTTTAGATCTATATTTATTAACATAAGGATCATTTACTGTGTTTTATTAATTAAAGAATCAGCCTACGAAATTATAAAATATGTAAAATAAAAACAAGAGACAAAGTTTATGGTTTAGGAACACCTGCAGAGAACCTGGCTTCAGTTTCCAGCACTGCTATGGTGGTTTACAACCTTATGTAAGTTCCAGGGCATCTGTATCCTTCTTCTGGCCTCTGTAGGCTCATGCATGCATGTAGAATGCATACATACATGTTGCTAAGCACTTAGAAACAAAAACTAAAAATAACTCTTTTAAAAAGGATATAAAAGTATGTCCTTAGTTTTGGAGTAAATGAGTATTTATAAGATAATGTATATTGTTTTTGTCTTTTATACCTAACAGTTAGTAAGTGGGTAAAAGAATTCTAAACTGCCATTTTTCCTTATTCCGCTTTACATTCTATATCAAAGAGCAACATGCCATTAAACTGAAAAAGAGTAAAACTTTTAAAACATGTAGGAAAAACAAAGATTTTTACTACAATTTATAGTTCTCTAAAAGAACATATTTATAAGAGTAAGAACTATTTATATGAACTAGAGCTATCATATTTTTGAGATAAATCCAAAAGAGGTTACATCAGGTCAGGGAGCAGTGCTTTTTACACTATAAAAATGCATTAGACGTGACTCAAAGTGTTCCTATATGGGTAACATGATTCTAGCACTGAATACAAAGCCTGCATGTGATTCAAGTGGCTGACGTCATTGGGCCTCTTGGAGCCAGGAGTTCATGAATAGGCTGGTCCACATAGCATAACCCAGGTTTTTCGGTTTTTTTTTCTAATTTTTAACATTAGTTTTATATTATAAATATATAGCATATTATAATATATTTATATTTTATATATTTATATATTCATATATAATATTATATACAATTGTAATATAATGCAATTATATACAATTATATATATATAATATATAAAAATACCTTATATATTGTACTATTATATAGATTATATTATATAGATTATATAGACAGATTATATTATGTTGTATATTTTTATATATTTAATTAATTATAATATATAATATATTATAATAATTGATCACACAAATATTTACTTTGAAACACCAACTTATCTCTTTAAACATTCCAGGGAAGAACTTAAAGCTCATCCTACCTTTCTGTCACTCTCTTCTCGGCTTTTCCGCCTTTGTTCTTCTACCCTCTGTTCTCTCTTAACATCTTCTCCGATCTTTGTGAGAAGCATCATCTCCTTTGTCTTCCATTCCTAAGGACCAGAGTATTATGAAATTGTTCCATGTGCATTCTGTTTTCAGGGCAGGTGTGCTTTGCCCACCACCAAGAAAAACCTGACAGGTCAAGGGCCCAGCAGATACATGAAAGTCATCCAGCGCTTTTCAAATGGGCTTTTCTTACTGCACTTGTATTAAGAAAATAGATAAGGAGCTGTGGGCAGGGGTGCTTGGGGAGTGAGGTCATGCTGATAAGTCTGTTAACCTGAGTTTATTTCCCAGCACTCTAACGGTAGGAGGAAAGAACTGATTCACACAGCTGTATGAACTTCTCCATTGCATTATGCCGAGTGTGCACACAAATGTATAATTTTAATTAAAAATAAAATTAGGTCTGATTAATTTTTACTATTTTTAAATTAAAAAAATTTCCTGTGCACACCAAGGTCTAATTGGAAATGAAGCAATCTCAAAAACTTTGTACAGCCTCCACATTTTACAGTTAAACTTGTGCGCTAGAGGGACATAAGAGCTTAAAACTGGAATGTTTCCAAACAGTATAATAGTTTTAAAACTGATTACAAATGGGGAAAATTCACCCATTTTTTCCCCTCACGACATTTAAGTTTACCTCTTACCTGTTCAATTTTTCTACGCAGACTAAGTTTCTTTCTTGTGTATTCCCGCTGACGCCTCTCCTCTCTGTCCATGCGGAGTAAGCGTTGTTCTTCTGCTGTGCGCTCAAGTTGTTCTAATTCTTTACTTATCATATCCAAATATCTGAGTTAGGATGAACACAGGATTGCAGCTTATTTGGGGAGCTCTATACCCATACTCAAAATACAGCCCTGCCTTGCTTGCCATGGTTTGAACCACAGAAATGTCACAGGGTTTTCCTAATTTTGTTGGTTTTATCAGTTCCACTCATTGCTCTTCAGATTAGATGTACTCATAATGCTTGGCTGACTTATTATTCTTTTGAGTATATGTCTGTTATCTTGGTGAAAGAAAGAGTGGGTCGTGGAGCAAACTGATTCACTCTTCTACACAGTGAGCAATAACAACTCAGTGGGTTTAGGAATATAAACTTGCAAACATGACAGAAAACAAGCAAGGTTTCAAACGCATTCACCGAAAGAACAGGGGAGGCACTAGGCTCTTGGTAGCAACACAAAACTCCCACTGATGGTCTCAGGCTGCGACAGCAGTGTATCTTATGTTACTGCTGTGAGACAAAACTACACAGTAAAAACAGTCATGAAAGCTCTCATTCAGTAAAGAAAAAATGGTGGGACATCATTATGCTTTCAGATACATAAATCAGGTAATGGAATGCTGATTAGTGATTAGGCATGGGAAATATCTGAATAAATCCACAGTTAGTTATTTATGTTCCCTTTAGATAGATTAAAACTCCTGTTTTTGACTTGAACTTATTTCTTGCCACTTAACACTGTCACTTTCTAAAGAGCAATTTATAAGAACTTGCTTTCCTTTTTTTTTTACCTGCTACTAAAATAATTTCTCCGATTGAAGATTGAAAGGCTCTAGGATCTGATGCTTCCTCCAGACATCTCTTTTTAATCCCTTGGGTTCCCAGAAGACTCAACTCTCCTGGAAAAGGTTTCCACTCATGGCTTTTATGTCCAGGATTCCTAATTCCTATACCTCTCTGATTCCCTTCCTTTCTCTCTCCACTGACGACCATTAAACACTATCTACTACTTAAAAAATAAAACTTCTGCATCAATGAGAGGGGAGGCCCTTGGTCCTTTGTAGGCTTGATGCCCAGCTTGGGGGAATGCTAAGGCAGTGTGAGGCAGGAGTGGATAGGTGGGTAGGTGGGGGAGCACCCTCATAGAAGCAGAGGGAGAAGGGATGGGATAGGGGTTTGCATAGGGGAAACTGGGAAGGGAAATAACATTTGAAATGTAAATAAACAAAATAGCCAATAAAAATAATAAACACTCTTCTCCTGTGGAAAAAGATAAAAAAAAATTTTCCTTAAAAAAAAAAAAAGTTCTGCTTACAATGCCTTTCAGTATAATTCATTTCAGGTACACACACACACACACACACACACACACACACACACACACGTCTCACCTGTGCCTTAACAAACGTTCTTGGTCCTTAATAGACTGAGTGTTGTCCTGTAACAACCAGCTCTGGAATCGTGTGATATCAGAACAGTGAGGAAGTTGGCTGGTTTCTTGCAGTTTATGTAGTTGTTTTGAAATCAATTGCTATTTTTTCCAAAAAAAAAAAAGTCAGTACTATGTGTTTTTACATTTCCAAGAAATGACATCATTAAAATTCCCATATTTTATAAATAATAAATTGTTTAAAAGCATTTAATTCTATTTTGAATCCACTCCAAATGTGGACAGCTAAACTAAAATAAGAATTTCTCTCTCTGCAAATATAAGATGAATAGTTTTTTGGTTCACTAATGCTATATTTTTCTCTTTGCTTATTTTCCTGTTTATTTATTTATCTATTATTATTTCAAATGACACAAGGCCTCACAACATGTAGCTCAGGCTAGACTTGAACTCATCGTTCTCCTGCTCCAGCTTTTCAGCATTCTACAACTTCAAATTCATGCATATCTTAGCCATGCTCATTTTTCTTTAACTTTCTTACTTTGTAATCTAAAATTGTGAGCATTGCTTCATTCTGATGTCTCTTGACTCAAGAAAACCTTGAATCCATTTATACATGTTCCACAGACAGAGAACAGACAGGAGGGGCAGGAGAAAATGAGACAAGGAGGAGGGAGGAAGGGCAGGGATAGGCAGAGAGAGAAGCAGTCTAGACACAGCTTTGATTCAAGACTAAAAGAAACTCATTGTGTATAATCTAAGAATTCTTCATCACTTTTATGAACTTTTGTGAATGAATGCAGGTATATGCACTAGATAAATCGCACAGTCACAATCACATCACAGTTTTAACTATTACATAGGGTATTATAGCTGTGACAAAACAAATCATCTGTTTCTAAAACTGCTTTGGTTTCAGCTTTAAAACTTTCAGTACAATAGACAGCTTCTGGTGTCAGCTACTAAGTAACTTATCTGCCTTATTGAATTTTGAGTACACTGAATTATTTACTAAATTAACAGCTAAATATAAAATATAATACTAAATGTTAGTATACTGATGATATGATCTAACCTCTTTTTATTGGACAAATGTTGCAAGTTCCAAATATTGTTCATTTCTGCTTGCAAATTTCAAAAACAATATTATTTAATGTGCAATTAAACTTCAAAATATAAGAAAATATTACACATGTAAATAAAACTTTAGATTCTATTTAAACTAATTTTAAATTTGTAACTTACCTGTTCTCTTAAATAGTTTCGTTCAAAGTCTAATTTTAGGCTGGTCAGGTATTGGCGGTATTTATTCAGCTCTCTCAAGCTACATACAATCTAAAATCAAAAACCAAACTGTATAAATGTTTTACATAAATGAAGATTGAATAGTCATAACAATTGCTTATTAGAAGACAAATAAAAGCAATGACAATTTGATGACATTTGGGTACGAAGAGTAAATTTCATAGGCGGGACCTCTGCATTTGTAAGAAAGAAATTGCTACATGAAAATAAAATTTTATTACTCTACTATAATAGCAGATTTATTATTCAAAAGTAATCATAATTACTAAAACAATAATTCCAATTAATTATACTTGGATTATGATCATAAATATAATGTTCAAATGCAATAAGAATAATCTCACAGGATGCTAACAACTACATTTCCTACATTCGTATTTCAACTTTTAAAAATGTAAATCACATACAAGAAAACAGTACCATTACAGACAGAAAAAGAGAACCATGATTCAGTGGAGAACATTGCTATACCTTTGCCTCTTCAAAGAACTTGTCAATAATTTTTTATATTAAACAGAAAAAGGTGACTAAAATTATCAGAAGTGGAAGCTGTCATTGTCTCATCCCTGAGTATTCTATAAAAAACTGACCAAGAAGTATCTGGTTATAACAGAGTTAATGATGACATTTTCGAAAAATGGTTCTTGGAACAAAGCTGTGAAGGTTAACCTAGTGACTGGCTGACCTACTGACTAGAGCTTCAGTGGTGTGGACAGGCTGGACTATTACAGATCCAGAACTCAATCATGACTGATTGTTGAGTATGCTTACATATTCCTTGCTTATCTGTATTGGCACTTACCTACTGTCACTAACAGATAAACCCCCTTCAAATGTATTAACAAACCCCAATTTTCTATTCATCAAAGGGTTAAAAACGCTACTCATATAGCATCCAGGGCTTAGAGCTGAGATTTCTTTGTTTGGATATAATGACTTTTCTGATTTTTTCCACCAATGTATTTGAAAAGTCTCTTGATTTATGATTTCTCTGTTTGGTTATTATAATAACTTTATGAAGTTATTTCTACATTAGATTATGGAATTCGGGGATAATTTATATCAGTGCTTCTGAGCTATGGTCACTCATTTTTGGCTCCAGAAGAAATTATTTCTTATTCCCTTCGAGGTGAGAGATGTGTTTTTGCATCAAGAGACTGCCTTTCATTAGGGTAGGAAAGCAAACACAACATAGTATAAGATCTCATTGATTTAAAAAAACAAAGCAAGCAACCTTCAACTTACTTTGTTATTGCTGGTGATGTAGCCACCTTTCTTAAGTCTCCTCAGAATATCTTTGCGCTTATAGTACGTTCTTAAATGTGGATCATGGAGACTTTTATATTGGGTTTCCAAAAGTCGACAGTAAGGATCACTCAGGTTAAAACCATAGGAAGGTCGAAAAAGCTGCAAAAAGGCAGATATTAAAATATTACAAATACAAATTAATGTATTTTCATTTTTAATTAACCTGTTGACATGACTAGAAAAATCAAACATGCAATTTAAATTTGAACTGGGAATAAGCAAGCAACAGGAGGATTTACTCTTGCAGGCTTCCTTCTTCCCCTGCCCACATGAAGTGATTTAAACAGTTGGCCTATCTAAATCACTTCCTTCCCTGATGCATCAGCCTCTGGCCATGAGACAAGAAGAGAGAGAAGAAAAAGAAGGGAATAGTGTTTAATTTGTTGTAAGAAATGAAGCCAATGCCAGGATTCTGTTTTTCGTTTCCTCCCTAAATTGAAACACTATATTCAGAAGAAAAAAAGATAATAGCAATTATTATGTTTCAATAATCTGAAAGTCAAGAAAAGTAGTGGAAAAATCTTTCACTAAACTTAAATGGAAATAATGCATATAACAGTAGAAGTAGAATTCAGGTGCTAAAGACTAAGGATAAAGAATCATAGTGTCTTAGGGACTTTAACAAGCCAAATAGGTTGAGGTTACAGTCATATAGAAAGTCATATAATTCAAGATATTGAAATACTAGTTTTAAGGCAAATTAAAAATCATGGGTTTTCATCCTATATGTTAATACCAAACACAACTCCATACAGTAAATACTATTATATAAATATAATTTTGCCAAATAAACATAAATATTACCATATAAATACCATAATAAACATAGCCATATAAAAGAATGGAAAAGATGTTCCTTTCCACTTAATATTCATGAATTACTAGTCTTGTATTATGAAGGAAATACCTAAATCATTTAATCTCATTTATCAAGTAAATCAGTAGCGGAGTCAGATTTTGGTATGAGTTCTCGGTTAATTTTTTCAAAGAAAGAATGATAATAGCTTATACAAAGGCTTATGAAGAAGAAAAAGAAGGTAGATAACAGAAGTCTGTGTGAAAATGTGCTAATGTTGTCTTTGTAGTTTTTCAGCTTTAAAGCTTGCTAATGTAATACCAAGACTGCAAAAGGTGAAGATGTTGGAGTTGGAGGAGATGAAAAAGCAGAGAGCATGGGTCCTGCTTTAGACATCTAATTCAGTTCACATTACCACAAAATATTGAGCACCATTCCAGTGTGTGACCTCTGTTTAGTCTACCTAAAGCTACAAGCTCAGTTCACATCTTGAGTATTGCAGAGTTGGATGGAATAGGCTCTAAAACAAACTAGAAGCCAGAAGTGCCTTTAAGGGGAAGCCCCAGGGAGCAAGATAGCAGAGCAGCTCTTCCTTTGAATAAAACACACCTTTGTTAAGTCCCTAAGTTCTTGTTTTTTTTTTTAATTAATTACTTTATTTTCATTCCAAATGTTGCCCCCTCCCAATCACCCCTCCCAGAGTTCATCACCCTATTCCTCCCCTCCTTTGCCTCTGAGAAGGTGCTCCTCCTCCATCCCTGAACTCTTTTTTTTTTTTAATTGGGCATTTTATTTATTTACATTTCAGATGCATTCCTTTTTCATTATTTCCCCTTCCTAGAAACCTCTATCCCATTCCTCCTCCTCCTTTTGGCTTTTATACCATTTTAATTACATGCAGGTATAAAGTCAGTTCTAGTTTGAGGAACTAGCAATACAATAGATGTAAATACTCAAGCAATAAGCAAGACAATAAACACAAATAGTCAAAGAACAAGCAAGGCATTAAAGACAAGTCTGTGAACACTCCTGTGATCACTGTTTCTAGGGGCTTATCAGGATATACAAAATATCTGGGCCAACTTCCCTGTCCTAGCCCAAAGTCATTTTCATGTCTGAAGCCTACATCATTGTTCTAGCCTTAAATTTAGATTCCTGGCTGAAATAACTTTGTTCTAACCTAATATTTAATTTCATCCCTGAACTCTTAATGCCACAACTTAAATACCTTTCAAAGGGCCTAATTAGACAGGTAGATTGAATGACTACCAAAGTTTCCCAGAGAGCATCAACTTCCTAAATTCCTATAGCTCAAAGTCTAATTCAGTGAAATTTGGACCATATAAGAAGTAAACGTTTTATCCTGAGGGAAACAATAAAACAAAGAAATATTTTGTCTCTCTTAGATGGTGACATTTGGCTGCTATTTTTTTTTTTAGATGTTGACAAACATGTTTCTCAATAACAATTGAAGTAACCACTCAACAAAAATATATTAAGCCTTATTCAGTATCACTTAAGAATGGAGGAGGCTAAGGATGGGTTAAAAAGCTAAGCGTTTTAAGGGATGCAAGCAGCACCATACAATCTACTATACATGATGAGTATAGGTATTCAACCTAAATAAATGTTAATTCTAAATTGGTAACTCTGATATAGTTCACACGTGATGCTCTGGAATGACTCAGATTAACAAATGAGGAAGAAGATGATGAAGAAAAGAGAAAAATTGGAGGAAAATTGGATAAAAATGCAGTGGTTGTTGGTTCTCTGGGCATCAAGAAGATGGCCTGGAAGAGCTCAGTCTGAAGCTGTAGTAGAGAAAGAGAGCTAAGATGATCAGGGGCCTTTTATCCTCATAGAAGCAGGGACTTTTCCTATTTGTTAGAATTATAATAATAAACATGAAAATTACTTCAAATCTATTTTAGAATCTTATTACGTGAGATAGGTGTTGGCTCAAAGAAAAAACAAAACCAACAAAGAAGTCATTCATAGATTAGACTCAATATTGGTTAAAAATCTAATACCATAATTAATAGCCAATAGTCATAGTCTTTGAATCAAATGTTTCTAAGAAAAAACTTAATACACAGGCATGGAAGGGGCTTATAATTAAATGTTAATCTGTTGCTATGTAACATAAATTAAAACAGAGCCAAGAATCTAAATCCTTTTGATCATGATTCTATAAAACAGTATTCGATGGAATTGTTTTATATATCATCTAAACAGTATCTGTGGTAAGATGTCTCTTAGTACACGTTCTCCTAATGTACTTTGCTATATTCGCTAACTGCAAGGAGAAAAGAGTATAGAAATATAAGACAATTAACATAATTATAAGAGGTTTCCTTACCTTTTCACTGATATTCGTAGTAAAATATACAGTATCAGTTCCTGGGATCATAGGCAGCTTGACCCCAAGAGGAAGATCTAGGAGCTGAGCAGCTCCTACCCCTGGTATTGGGGTTTTGTGTGCGCCCTGTCAAATATAATCAGAGAATGTGTCTTTTCTTTTGTTAATAGTCTTTTGCTTTGACCCAAATCCTCACACAACAAGTATACAAACCCAAGAATCAACGGGTAAGGTCTGAAGGGGCACATCCTTCCACAGTCCCTCTCTTCAGCCAGCCTAAGTCTCCCTGCTATAGCCATACAAGAGCTGGTATTACTGCTCCCAGGCCCACAATGGCTACTCAAGCCTGAGGCCCGACATCCACATCACCGAGGCCTCTCCACTTACATTTCTACTTACATCTCCGCATTGCTGACTGTCCTCAGCCACGGTGCTGGAGGCTGCCTTGTTGGCGGCCACATTGGCGGTCTTAGAGCAGGCGCTGAGGTACAGCTCCATGGCAGCCTGGGCTCAAGTCCTCCCTGGATGCTTCCTGGCTTCCTTCGCCTTGGTCCCTCAGTTCCGAATGACCGGTGCCAGCCCCCTGCGGCCCCACGAGCTTACGTTCCACATGGAACAGTGGCAGCCGCGTAGGAGACAAAGTGCCTCAGATTGGGAAATTCGGCCAAGAGACTCGGACTATGACTACCTCAATCGAAAGTCTGGTTCTCTTGGAAACCCTCCTCTCTCAGACAATCCATACAAACAAAAAAAATTTTTTTAAATTGTTCTGGGTAAGGGGATGAGATAAGAGAGCCAAGATAGTTAATATCCCCTTCACCAATACTCTATACTGCTTCCATGCACACCTAAGGCCAGAGGCCTGTCTATTCATCCATATTATCCAATGAATACATTGTACCACCTCATTCCCAAGCCCTCATGCTGTTCCATGTCAGGTCCACATCCCACATAGAATCCTGCTCCTTTCTGACTCCTGCCTCCTCTACTCTTCCCCTTTCCTTTAGTATCTCTCCTGCTCTTTCTGGGTCCTCTATTTTACCCTACTTCTTCCTGTTGATTAACATCCAACCCAGTTTTGTAAAGTTCTCAGCTTTGAGTCAGCCATGGCAGAACAGGGTAGAACAGAACCATAAAATACGGTGCTCATCTTTGAGCAGCTACATCTAACAGTAGGTACTAGGCAGGGATCTGATTGGTCAAGAACTAGAACTTCGTTTCAAAGGTTCCTGAGGTGTGGTTGATATACCCCTCTCAGTGCTGAGACTCTGTCTGGCTCAAAGTTGTGTGGGTCTTGTACATGCTTGGCACATTTTTTGAGTTCATATGTCTGTCAGTTTGGGTTCCTTGATCCATTGCCACTGTTTTTGGGCCATGTAAAACTTTTATCTATACATATTAAATTCTTCTATAAATTTATAAACACCTTGTCAATGAGCTACCTTTTTATTTTCAAAGATTAAGGAAGGACATAATAATCTCAAAACCAACATCCTTCCAAATGTGACAATACAAATTACTATTGTGTATTGTTTGATTGAATACTTGTATAAGAAGGATCTAGAGACTGAAGTGCAATTTCTTTTTCAATTGATTATAGTAACATGGGGGAGACAATATCCTAATGACATTGTATGGCAACAGGTAAAACTTCCAGTGCCAAGAATAGGTTACATTTTGTGAAATCATTGGCCAAACGGAACTTCTGGAAACTCTCAAATATCACAGACTGTTGTCAAGGCTGGTGCTGGCTTTTGGCAACATGATTGTAAGGCCCTACTACTGATGACATTGCTTATGTCACTGAACATGAAGAAATAGATCTAGTATCTAACTAGAAGCTTCCATCCTACTGACCAGATTCTGTGGTGCAGGAAGGCACTTTACACACTGAAGGGAAAGATAATACTGTCACCCACAACAGCAACCTGTCTGCAAAATACACTGGCTCAATAGTGGTACAAAAGTTATGGGAATAACTAATCACCCTTTAGTGGTAGTTAGGCCTATTTCATGTGATGGAACCAATACCTGACACTGCTGAAGAGTCCAAAAACCTGGGGCTAGGTAGAGCATAGGGAACAGGTGACAGCCTACCCTATTATTCTGTTAAAAGAACACAGAGGAAAAATGGCTTCTAATGATATACTGATAATCCATAGATCAGAGTAGTGTCTTCTTATAGTAGACGATAACACAGAAACCCACAAGTAGGCAATGGACAGAGAGACAGATTTGGGATCACTCAATGTTGGATGGCATATGTTCATCAAACTTCCTTTTGAAGGCTTCGGGGTCATTTGAAAAGAGGTGAAAAGATTATAAGAGCGAGAGGGGATGAATGACTCCAAGAAACAGTGTCTTCCAGACTCAAAAACTGATAGACATATGAACTCAAAAATGTGTCAAGCATGTCCAAGACATGTACAAATTTAAGACAGACAGAGTCTCAGCACTGAGAGATGTATATCAATAACACTCCAGGGAGGACTCATGCCTCCATGCTCAGGGGTAGTTGGTCAACTCAAAATGAATGCCTTTTTGTTTAGTTTTGAATTTTTTTTTGTCTTATTGGCTTGTTGAATGTTTTGATCTTTACTTTTGTGTATTTTTTATTTTTCTTTTGAGAGAAAGAACATAATGTGATGTGGATAGGAAGACTGGAGGGATTTGGATAATGTTGGGGAGGGGATGATATTGGATCAAATAATATAAAAAAATTAAAAACATAAAAAATATAATAGTGTTTAAAGTTGTAACCCAAGTCAATACTAATAGAGCAGAAGCTCATGCTAACTATCCAATTATTTAAGTTTAAGTTTCTTTTTATTAAATTAAAATGAGTATTTAGTTCAGAAGGCTTTTTTTGTTGTTCTTATTCTGCAAAACCACATCATATTCTGTACAACTACCGCAGAAATAAGGTGGCGCTTTTTAAAGAATAAACATTCATTTTAACACAGTTAAGTAAAGTGCCTCTAATTGTGGTTTTGTAATTTCCTTACTTTTTAATCTTCATAGTACCAAATTAAAGGAAATTTGTTTTTTGTTAACATAGAATAATTGTCACTGATTCATGTAGTTGATATAGTAACCATTTTAATGCATGTGCTCAGAACAAGTGGCAATTAAAATATTACTACATTCTTATCATCTCCTGCCAGCTGGCTGTTTATATTAACATTGCAGGGGATCACATTGCCATTTAAGGTGGCTCCTTATCAGTTATGGCTAGGTTTTATATTGTTGCTAATATTTTCACCTCATTAGTAAAGAGTCTGAGAAAAGCTTTATCTTTAGTGTGGGTTCACATGTAATGAAGTTGAGAATAAGGTGAATCTTTGGAGACATTCTGTAAGAAACAAACAAACAACAAAACAAAACCAAAACCAAAGAAAACAATGAAGCCCTGCCCACCCCCTTCTTGCTGAGGCTTCTCCATACATAATACCTTGTCAGCTGTAAGCTACTCATTCTCTTATACAGTACATCTGTATGTTCGTCATACTCTTTTCAATTTCCTTCTTGAAAATTCTTCTCAATCATGTTATTTTTAGATATAGTCCCTAAGTGCTGCCTAGTTTTATGTCAACTTGGTACCCACTAGAGTTATTGGGAAGAAGAAAACATCAAATGAGAAAATGTGCCCCACCAGATTGGCCTGTGAGCAAGCCTGTGGCACTTTATTTCTTTTAAATTAGTAATTGATGTGGGATGATCGGTGCCATTGAGGATGGTCCCACCCTTTCACAGATGGCCTTACAGCATATAAAAGATTAGTCTGATCTTGGAGTGCAAGCCAGGAAATAGCACTCCCCATGGACTTTGCATAGCTTCTGTCTCCAGGTTCCTCCCTGTTGCCATTTCTGCCTTGGCTTTCCCCAATGAACTGTGACTCAGAATACACAAGTCAAACAACTCCTTTCCTCCTTAAGTTGTGTTAGGTCATGATGCTTTATCACAGTGGTAGAAACCCTGACTAGCTAGCTACAAGCAGAACAGTGATGGGTTTTGCTTCATAGTGCACGTTGAAAGAGTCTTTGTAATTATTCTTATGCCACTCATTTTATGTTATTAGCATAAATACACCCTCATGTTGCTTCATTTGTGTTTAGTATATCTTTGCTTCTTTCTTTTCTTTCACACTCAGCATAAAGAATCTTAGTTGAACTATATATATACCGCCTCTATTTTTGAAAGCCTTATGCAAAAATATCACAATATAAAGGTATTTACTCATAAAGATATGCTCTTTGGTTTGTGTACATCTGTGCACTTGAGAAAGGGTCTAAATCTGGCCCAGGCTCTTGAACTCACAGCCCAGCATCAGTCTGTGGACTGAGATTATAGGCATGTGCTACTCTGCCATGCTTGGTATGATCTTCTAAATAGTCTTATTGCTTTTTTTTCTCTGTCCTGGCCCATTCAGTGAATATTATTAAAGTTAGGAACTATTTTTCTGTGATTTTACAGATACAAAAGAAAAATTTCTCCTTAAGAAAGCTCAGAGAAAATGTGTCCTTTGAAGGCTAAATAGCCCATATGCCCACGTCACACAGGTGCTTCATTTCAAATATGGACTACAGCTGTTTTAGATCTGTTGTTATTTAAAATTAAAGTTGTTATGCTTTCGATACTCTTCAAATCCTGAGCATTGGTTTTATGTGAATTTAATTATGGGGTAATTATCTCCTATGAAACAGTTCTTACATTGGAGGACTTATAATACTGTACTTTAACTAATTGTCTCAAGTGTTTTTCCTTTCTTTCATAACAGAAACAATTAGACAACTGATTTTCATAAGTATTATTTTGAGGCTCAGATACTTAAACTAAGTTTTCTTTAAAAATTTTAAAGCAAGTCTATGAGTTTACTCTGCTACAACGATATACTAGAAAACTTTGCTTTATTCTTTGGTGGTCTGTATCAGAAAACTAGTAATGATAATCAGTATCATTTTTTAACATTATCAGTATTAAGTTGTTACTTGCTACTTTATTTTTTTCAATCTTTCACCTTTTGTGATGTAGGGACAATTATTTACAGTTAGTATCTTTTAAAAAGAGAATAGATATTTTCTATTTAGTGATTAAACCAAAAGTGAATGAAAGATAGCAACAACTTTATGTTTTCCCACATTAAATATGTCCGAATTTTACCTGTACTATGGTCAAATATAAGAAGTTGTTGATGGTTATAATTATTGCTACCCGCAGTTTTTATTTGTGGCAGGCTCTTTTTAAGTTATAGAACTTCCCAGACCCGCTGACTCCCACCTAAGCCAGCCTTGTGGATGCAGTCGTCAGCCTTATGGGTGCAGTTCTCAAGCCTCAACTTCCCGAGTGGCTGGGATTTCAGGCTCGCATCACAACAGCATGCTCATAATTTTTAACTCTATTTTTAAATTTGGCAAGCATGGGATTAAGTTCTTTGGCTGAATTATTTCATTGGACCATTACAAAGCAGATGACGTTAAATCTATTACCCTTCCATTTAA